TTATTGTTTGCGCTTCAATTAATTTGTCAATTCAATGTGAACTAAAAAATGCACTATTTTTTAAAAAGCTTTTAAAAATATATAAATTTAAAGTTAATGTTACAAAGTAAATTTTATACCATTAAAAGTGAGTAATTCAAGTTAAATTTAAAGTAAAAAAGCATATAATAAATCTTGAGATAATAAATGTAAATCGGTCCCTTCATATAATTGCAAAATATTTAAAACATTTACTGATTTTAATATAAAATGGAATGCTTAAAACGACTCTGGGTTCATATTAATCTTTTCTGTACCTGGAATAGTTGCATATCAGCATCAGTTAACAAAGCACTTAGCAGATGAGTCATGCATCAGCTATCATATAACATATTCTCGCACCTCTTTTATCACATTTCGAATGATATTTTCTACATTCAATTTATTATCTTTATGCAGCAACATTCAACAACATTCATTTAAAATGTGAAAATAATGCAAAACGTTATCACTAAATATAACCCAGATATGTGCATAAAAACTTATTTAATTAAGTTGATTATTTGTTGAACTTTAATTGCTTATAATTTGCCAAACTGCCCTCGTTCGATGTTGTCTTAGAATTTCTCTTTGCGTTTTGTTGGATTTTTGATTTGCAAATCTTCTTAAACGCCATGTTGACGGTCTGCCCTCGAGGCGTTATTTTTCAACATATGTTTAGACTGACTGCTTGGCTAGCTGGCAAGCTGGCTGACTGTTTTGATGAGCGGCGCTTGAGGAGATTAGCCTAGCAGCTTTCTCGATGTTAAGGGCTTGTTGTCAATTTGTTGATGTTGCTGTTGCTGTTTGCTCCCCTTTTTGAGCACCTTCTGCTATGCAAATCGATGGCAGTGCATCAAACGAAATTACCAAATGCGGCTACGTGCCTTTCTGGGTCTCCGCAATTTACATATTTAAGCGTGCGGCATATCATCTGAGAATACTCCACTGCAGTCCACAGCTTGTTGGCGGCTCCGTTCGTTGTCAGATGTGAGTCGTCTCTTGGGTGCAGCAGTCGAGGCACTTGGAGAGCGTTTAAATAGAGAACCGGCTGCTGCTGACGGGGGCGGCGAGTAAACATAAAAAAAAAAAAACAAAAACGTTATCTGCCAGCACAACGCGTATTGTTTATTGTGGCCATAAAGTAAACTGAAAAATATAAGAAAAAAAATTAAATTTTTGCTTGCAGTACAAAAATATACATTACGCTTAAGCAAAAGACAATCGCACGAGCTGCTGAAAAGTGAGCCCAAAAAAAGACTCGCCCTTACTTTTAAATTTATATATATATATATATATATCGGAGCAGAAGCTGATAAGCTCTGGAAAAAAACGAAGGCAGCAGGTGAAACAATGGCCATAACGGGCGCGTAATTAACAAAATGCTCGCAGAGCGACAGCTGAATGAAAAATAGCAACAAGTGAAACAAAATACGCAACAAAAGTGTTAAAAACAAACCAAATAACAAAAAGAGGTGCACAAAAATCAAATTGTGCGCGAGAATTCCATTCATTGACTGCTAAACTTGGCAGCTGGCAGAGGCGCCGACGGCAACCAATTCCCAGGCACCTTGGCACAAACAGTTTTCTGTCGTTTTTCTGCATGTGTGCAACTAGTACATGTGTATGTGTGTGTGTGCGTGCGGAAATGGCTTAGCGCAAAAATGTTGTGATTAAAAGTGAACGTTTGTGTGTCAAGAGGGTTAAAAAGGAAGCGAAAGCAAAACCAAATTCAACGCATAACAACAAAGCAACAACAACAACAACAGCAGCAACAACCGCAAAAATAATAGCAAAATGGCCGCCGACGCATCTGCAGCAGCAGCAGCTGCAGCAGCAACAACCACAACAGCAGCAGCAACAGCAGCAGCTGGCGACAGTCCACAGAGCAGCCCTGGTCAGCAGCTGAACAGCAGCGTGGACAGCGGCATTGCCGTCCCGGACAGGGATGCACATGCCTTGAAGCTGCGCCAGCGTCTGCATCAATGCCAGCGCATCCTTCAGGTGCTGCAACGAGATCAGCCCACATATCAAATGCTACGCGATAGATTAAGGTGAGTCACGAATAACCAGCTAAATAATGAATAACTGACTGATATAATATACTAATTACAATATAGTAAATTGGTAAATAGTTGTATAAAAGTATCCACCAGACAGAAGAAAGCAACTCAAATATATTGATCAACAACAACCATCTATCAATTTATATTAGCTGCAGTATTTAAATTTGGACTATAAGTTCTCGTACTATGCGCAATCTTTCCTCCCTTAGAGCTCTCGAAGATAGAAAATAAACCGGAATTTTAGAAAATCGCCATACTTTTAGCGGCAAATGTAACTCACTTTATTATTCAAAAAGTGTATTTCTAAAAAGGAGTTTGTATATTTATAAAAGCCATGGGTGTTTCAGGGTGCATATTTATAATATTTAGAAAAATATGTATATACAATTCGCAAGATGTTTTTCTCTATATTAGTATGCAGAACTACTGCATTCGATTTTCTACTGCTTATATTATTGTTAAACATTATTATTATAAGATTTCAGATATGCAATCATTTCACATAAAAACCTAAAACATATTTAAACTTCGCCAATTATAAGTTTTTATTTTCGTATATCACGCAATTATTTGGAAAAAGCCGAATTTTGTTCAAGTATTCATGACGATTTTAAGAATTTCATTGGCTTTTTTTCTGAGTGCAAAAATATGGGTCTAAACTAATTCCCTTTTTTACAACTGTTTAAACTGCAATCGTTGCAGCGATTTCTACTTTTATATTGCAATTTTTGTTGTTGAGATAAGATAACACAAGTAGAATATACATATATATATATATATATATATATATACATTGTACAAGCTGTTTGAGTTCAAATGATATTATCTAACACGGAAAAACGGAAAGAGATTTAAAATTTTTACAATAAATGATAAGATGCAGCCGACTCAACTCATTATGATTCATCTTGTATCTATAGGGTTCTAAAAATGAATTAGCTTATTCAGAAGATCCGCCTGGAGTTATTCTAACTCTCAACGCGAAATTAAAGATATTACACAAGCTGTAAGCATACATCTGAAAATTAACGATGTGTTCACCTTTGAGTGCCTGACTTGGCAATAAAAACCTTTTTCGTAGATGAGTAATGAAAAGAGTTTGTTAGTGGTTTTCTTCTTTTTTTCTATGATGTTTTATTGTGCTGCCGTTTGTAGAGTGGGAACATATGTGTTTTCCCAGAAAAGCTCTTAAGATGCGCCTAGCATTATTTTATTGCTGACTGCAACTGTGATTTTGTGATTTTGTCATTTCGGGCAATTTCCTCTCTTCGCAAACGAGGTCAACAATTCACATAAATAAGTTAAAAATTGCAAACAACAGCAATAACAATGCTTAATGGCCAATGGATGCAGTTGTCGCACTTTTCCTAATGTTGTTGTTGTTGGCAAAAACAGCAAAAAAAATACAAAAAAAAGAAGCACTTGCAACGCACCCAAACAAAATGCTAATCAAATAAGCAAAACTGACATCTGACAAAACAGCAGCTGCAGATGCGTTGTGTTTGTTGTTGTTCTTGAGTGGCTGTGTGCGGTTTGTAAAGATTGCAAGATCCACAAGCTGTTTGCCAAGCCCATCAACAACATCCGTCAGCAGCAGCTGCCTCAAGCTCGCGTATTTTTAATATGCCTTGCCACCAGCCATAATAAATTTCATAATTATGCTCGTATGCGTATGCGTATGCGTATAAATGGACAAAAATAATTGTGCACCTTTCGATACCATGAAAATATTCATATTTCATAAAGCCCGTTTTTTTGTTTTTTGGCTGGGGTAAACATTACGCAAGCGGCCAAACTTGATTAAACTTGGTTGTGTAAAGTCATTCCCTCTTAAACTAATATATGAAATTGGTCTTGAGCTCATAAGAGTAATTTATAGATTTATAATTGTTGGAGCACATTTTCCGCATTGCTTAAGCTTGCTTCATTTTTAAAAGTTTGGGAAACTTACAAATTTATAACAAATTTCTGGATTTTTAATTTACATTAATTATCATTTTGGCTAGCAAAAATCCACAAATGGGTTATAAGACTTTGGTTAACACATTGATTAGCAAAAATCCAGAAATTGGTTATGGACTTTTAAGCGAGATTACAAAACTTTTGAAAAATACCCATTTTTGATAAGAGGTTTTGTATTCGATTTATTTTTTCTCACTTTGCGTAGTCTTAAAAACTAATTTATCTTAGCTTGTGCTGCGTTGGATGAGCATAATTTATATACTCGTATGTCTGGAGCAACATTTGAGTATCATAAGCGATTATTTAATAGACTGTATGACTATAATTAATTAATAATATGTCTCGTTGTTTGTTTATTGTTTCTACCTCTGAGTATTTCTGCCCCCCTCCTATTTTTATATAATTTAATTATTAATAACAACGCCCAGCACATAAAATTCACCTTCAGCCTTATCGAACGCATAAATGTGCTCAATATCTTATCGGTAAGCTCATAATTAATTTGATGAATGCCAATTAATTGGGCAGCCAAATAGCTCAAAAAACATGCCAATCACCTTCAGTCGTAAGCTGAATTGATTTTCAGATTTGTTGGCCAAGTTCAGCCGTCAAAGGTTGCTTTAACGTTGTGGCAGCCACGATTTGCATAATGCAACCAGCAATAGGCACTCAGCTGCACCTTTGCCACGCATTTCTCCCTGCCTATTTGGTCATTTGTCTATTTGTCGCCAGTGCCTCTTATGTTCTTTGTTATCTGTGCGACAAATGCGATTTATTTGCCCTTCCCCTTTCTTGTTGTTTTTGCGGCTCGTTGGCTTTGACTATGACTAACTATGCCCAGTTCCACTTTGGATACTCGCCACAACGCACACAAAAAAAAAAAAAAAAAAATACACAAAATTAAAAAAGAAACTAAGGAAAAATAAATTTTTATAAAAATTATAAAACCCCAATAATAATTTTGGTCTTGAACAACTTGTCATAATTATAAGGCGCTTGTGATATAACCCCAAAATCTTGACACTTATCTGTGAAATTTCGTTGCGTTGTTGATTTTCCCTTCTTCATTGTATTTTTCTTTCCATTCGTTGTTATTTCTCTTTTTTTATGATTAAACTTTTATCATTGTACTCGCGGCGCGCTGTTATCAAATCAAAAGCCGCAAATAAAGGCAATGCCTGACACTTTTTTTTTAACATAATAAAAGAAAAATAAACAAAACTCAAGACTATATAATACCTATACTTAATACACGCAACAAAGTGCAAAAAAAAAACAAACAAACAACGCAGTCGCAGTCGCATTTTTGAGCTTTCAGCGCAAGCGTTAAGATCGCTCCGATCTTGACCAGCTCAGTTGGCTAAAATAAGCCACTGGAAAAAGTAGGTAAAGTGGAAAAAAGTTCGCGCTTTTCTTATATGTGTGTATAGCTACAAATACATTTATATATATACATATATTACATCTGTTATGTGAAGTCATCATGTGATTATTATCGGGTTCTGATATCCAGCTCGTGGCCGCTCAATTAGCGAACGATTTTTATTGTTCGCTAAAATTTAAATACAACAACAAATATAAAAAAAATTCAAGACACACAAGAAAAATTGTGATTGATAATCGGTGTAAAAAAAACTTAATTGCAAAGCGAAAAGTTCTCGACGTGGGTAATTATTTATTTAACGTTTGCCCCGCGCGGTTCACTTGTGCGCAAAAAAGAAAACATAAATAACAAAACAAGACAAATAAAAGACAACAATTATTAACCACTCTGTGAAGCGAAACCTGTAGAAAAAAAAACACTAACAACAAACATAAACACACGACTTTGATGTCAGCCCCAGTGAATACAAAGCATTCGCAATTTGTTATGTTTAATCACAAGCTATTTTTGCACTGAAGCACACATAATAGAAGATGTCAAATCGTAGATAACGACCATAAAAAACCTTAATCACGACACGCTGTGAAATATTCTCGCCAAACGGCTAATTTCTTAACTTTACTCTTTAATCGGCCCACAAGAGAAACATGCAAACAAATACATTCCTGATTGATAGCGATTAAAAATAACTCTGTAGAGAGCACATACCAACTGATAAGAAGGTGTACATATTCCGAGTGTGTTCTTTCCCCTAACCATAATTCAATTTGTGCAAGTATGCAAAGATATTATGATACAAAATACAGGAAGACACTTCAGCAGCAGCTAAAATTGAAATTTCAGTTTACACCGTTTGAAGAGTCAAATGACACTGGATTAATTACGAAATTGATTATATAGGGAAGCTTTTAGTTTGGAATTTGTACTTTACTCAAATCAATTAATCACACTTGGAGCTTTTAAAAACAGTGACTTACAAAAAAAAGACTGTGCAGTATTTGTTATAACAACTTTTAAAATATGTTTTCATACAATCAGAAAAAAGTCGTGCCGAACTTTAGAACACGGCCATTCTTTTGACGGCAAAGGTTATTTAGAAATATATTTCCAAAAACGAAAGAATGTGATTGGTTTTCTATACTTAATTCCTGGCTACATTTTAATAAAATTTAGGAAAAATATGTATAATTTTATTTTCTTAATTAATTATTAAATATTAATATTTTACGATTTTACCTAAATAGATGGCTTATAAATTTATTTAATTTAATTTGAAAATGATTCGCGAACCTTTGAATTGCTTGAATTTCTACTTTTTAGTAGAATTTCTTTTAAAAAATATATTTCTGAAATGAAGAAATGCTTTCCAATTATTTTTTCAGATGTTTTTCGTATATGTAGAACCAATTTCCAAAAACAAGAAAACTTTCTAGTTTTCAGAGCGATTTTTCATGTCGATTTTTTTTTAAACTTTTCAAGTGTTTTATTATTTACACGTTTACTCTCTTTGTCAGGCATATTGAGAAATCTCATTTAAGATTCAGTTAAGTCAAGTAGGGCATTCCATTTGCCAAATTGCGCACCGAAATTTTAAAGTAAAGACACGTATATTAATTATTTAACTGACGAGATAAGAAATGCGTACAATAACAATGCCACAGACAGGTGATATCAGTGAGGGCCAATTGATAATCCCCGACAGAAACACGCATTTCCAGATTGAGTTTCTTGTTTGTTAGGCAGTTCAAATCGGTTGTGTGTGCTTCAGTGTTTAAACCACGAAACTCAATGACAAATGACCAGAAAATCAATTTTGCAGTGGTACAAGCGCTTGTTGCGCCCCAACAACTGCCACATGGATCGCGGTGGTAACAACATAATCCTCGGCCTCGCCAGTGTGCTGGGCTTGATTGGAGGCGCCTATCTGCTGCAAAGTGGCGCCCATCATCTACTAAGGTGAGTTCGGACCACCAACCAGCTGAACTCGACTACGTGAGCAGCACGATTAAAGCCCCAACTTGACGTTGCACGTGCAGCGAATTATTGAGAGAGAGATATCTGCAGCTGGAGTTGGACTCTGCTTTACACAGCTTCATTTTCATTTCTTAGATTTTCATTTTCAGTTACGTGTTGCTCGTTTCGCTTTGGCTTTGATTGCGTTCGCGTGTGAGAAACACAATAACAACAAAAACAACAACAAAGACAATAACAACAATAACAGAAAATGTGCAAAAACAATTCCAAAAGTATTTAAAAAATTGCACATAAAAACTGATTTGACATAATTGATGTTGAGTTTGTTTTTTGTTTGTGTGTTTCTTATTTGGCAGGTGGCTCACAGCTCACAGCCCAGAGCTCTCATTTTATTGATTTCCTTAGCCGCTTGTGTAATCACTTTATTCGCCAATAGCTGTAATTGGTCAACAATTGCGTACCGTTGCCAATTTCGATTTGTATCGATTATTGTTTACCGTTGCACAATTTCATAACAACGCGACACCAATTTGGCATGCAAACAGGCCCAAAGTCTCCAGCGGATATCGTTAAGAACATCAAAAGCAGCTTGTAACGGTGTCTGAAGTGACATCAATAATTAGCCACAAATATTCCATTGTCTTTTCATATAGTTTTAATGTTTTTCTGTTTCTGTTTCTGTTTTCTTTTGTTCATCCGAGTTAATTAGGTATTTGTTTATTGCATTGTATTGGCAGTATTTGCATTCCTTCCATATTTCAATTGTGTAAACAACAATCAGCTGTCTTTTTATATGTGAACAAAGCTCACTTTCTGTACAATTGGAAACTAGCACAGAAATGTGTAGCAGAAAACTGAAAACGAGAGACGCTTCATGCATAAATGGAAAGTCGGACTTATGGCTTAATAATTACAATTAACGCCTGTCAACGTTAGTTGGCTAAATTATTTAATGCGTCTGTTTCCGCTACACCAGCAGAAAAAGTTCATTAAGAAATTGAGTACTCAACAAAATTATTAAATCTCATATAAAAATCGCTTTTTATGGGTACTAACGAAAATGGTTTTAATCTACCCAACAAAAACTTAAACACTAACATTTCTCATAAAGCTTTAATGTGCTTTCGAGGCTTCAAGTGATCTTAAATTGATTGAAGCTTTATAATTAGACTCGCTGAAAGCTTAACTTACTTAACTCAGCACTATTTACTTCTTACTTTAAAATCTAGAGATCGAAATGCAATTTAAATTCAATTGCTACATTAACACATTTTCGCTGGGAGTGCTCGAAGAATTTCTTAATGCGACTCTAAATGAGAATAAAAACTGGTTGATTTGAAATTCAAGTCACACGCAGCAAGTGAAAACGCACAGACAAATGTGTAACAAATGTGACAGAGAATCTTTCTTTTTATGAAAGTGGTTAAGCAGCACTCAAATCTAGTTGTAAGCTGTTAGAAAAACGAACAATTTCTACAACTATATAAAAGAATTAGGTGCACATTCAAATAAATATTGCATACCCAAAAGGGCGTAGCAAAGATTCAAAGCATACTTTCAGGCGGAGACTGCTTAAAGGTCATGCAAAATCATCAGCGAATTTCGTACATTAAAAAATGCGCATTTAAAATGTTGTGCAAATTGGTTAGCCACATATTTGCAGTAAAAACTAGTACTCGTAAATTGCTGATTTTGTTATCGCTGATCAAGTTGCCAGTCCAGCAATTAGCCACAAAGGTTTTAATACTGACAATGAAGCTGAATGTCAAGTACATGAAATGTAATACGCAACATTTAGCGGTATTTAAATGATATATTATCTGATGAATCATTTGTTTTCATGTTTTTTTTTTGTCTAGTTTTGATTTTTTTTCTTTTGTATTCTGAAAATAAGAACCCGTTTCGTTCTGGGCGCCATTTATTAATCAACATAGACATACCAATAAATTAATAAATTCCTATATCCACAATTAAAAAAAAAGAATATAAGTTTATGCATAAGTTTGTTTAAATATAATACCCGTTTTCCGAATTTCATTTAAGTTTAAACAAATAAAATTTTTTGCAATGCGTAATGAAGTTATGACTGTTAAGCTAAAGGAATTGCCAGTCGGGCTGTGACAATTAATCAAAATTAAAAGTGAATTTGTCTGGCGCTGGTGGCAGCAACATCAGCTGTCCAGACTGTTGTCCATCACTCTTCTACGTCTCTCTTCTCCTGCTCTCTTCCCACAGGTATTCCATAGCGTAACGCGTGAATTACTCAAAAACCTAAAAAACTCTTACGTCATCAACGAGTTTATTTCTTTTTTTTTATCTGCCTGCCTGTCTATCCATCCGCTAGTTTAGATTTTCGTGTTTGTTTGACAGACTTACTCTCGCTGCTATCGCTGCTCTCTCGCGCAGTCTGCCGCCTCTCTGCTTTCTATGCAAAAACCGGCATAAAGGCTGAGCTTGTCGTCGCTGCCAGCGTCGCTGTCAGTAGCTCAGCTGTTGAATGAGCTGTGCGCTCAAAGCGAACTGCGCATAACAAGACCAAACCTGGTGTGAGAAAGTTGTCGGCGCGCTTCGAATAAAGCTGTCAAGCAAAAATATATACAGCCACATTGAAAAGTGCAAATTGAAGCTCCAAATTCGATAATAGTAGAAAACAATCAAATTTTGGTGCCATGCTAAGCAACAGCCGCCAACACTGTGACAACAATAATTACAGTAAAAATTCAAAAAAACAACAATCACTGACTTAAACAGCAAACCGATACTCAAAAAATAGAAATAATCAAACAAAAAACATAAAACGCAACACAAGCAACACGTGAAGAGGGATAAGAGAAGAGACAGCATGTTGTTCTCCTCTGTTGTGGTGTGCCAGGTGGAAAAAATACTCTGCACACCCATCAGTCTTGCCGTATTCGCCTTCCTCTTTATGGCCTGCACCATGGAGGTGGTTCTACTGAAACTCACCACAAGCGCCCACATCTTTGGACGGCCGCCCAATCACGATGACTGGGGCGGGGATGAGGGCAACGAGTACGAGGAGGAGGATATCTACTATGAGAATCTACAGAATAACTATGAGCATTGGGCGCGCAGGCGCATGCGATATCATCAACGACAACAACAGCTGCTGCTGGCACAGCAACAACAACAACAACAGCAACAGCAACAACAACATCAACATCTGTAGTCAATTTACCAATTTGTTTTGACCAATGTGTATATAGTGCGACTGAGTTCTCTCTAATTAGACAAATCCAAATTTCACAATTTGATGCATACAATAAATATTTTCAATTTCACTGCGTTATCTGTCGTGTGTCTGTCTGTCGTCTATGTGCACAATATGCTAAATTTTCTGCGAATTGAATGAAAGCCAAAAGCGAAAAGCGAAAAGAAAAATTTGTGTATTATTTGGAATTTTGTGCACGTTGTTAACAGGCAATACATTATATGTACATATATACAATATCGCACTGTTGGAGATATACAATTTTGATTATTCGGTTTCAATTACGTTCATTTGTTTTGTGTAGAAATTTGCATAAATCGTAAATGACTGACATAATCATAATATCTTGACATTACACAATTAAAATGCAAACAACACATATATAATATATAGTTTCTAATATAACATTTATTTATAACGCCTAGTGTCTAAAAGTATTTAAGGTTTATTTTGTGTGATGTTACCAAATGGTTTTCCTATATATACAATTTCTATCTGTATGCCTAGTCTCCTAAGCTTTCGAAAAATAGTCCAATAAACAAAAGTAGCTTTAAAAAAAAAACAAAACTAATTTATTGCCAGTCATCGCTTTTTACATTTATGGGATTTTTCTTTTCCTCTTTGTTACCGTTGCTGCTGCTGCTGCCGCTTCTGCTGCTTCTGCTGCTTTCAGGTCGAACTGGTTTTTGGGGAGTTGTTTGTCTTCCGCATTTTCACTTATGCAATTTACCAAATCCATACATTGAAAAGAGAGTGCGAAGATTGCTAAAGTTAATTAGAGTCTCAATTTCGTAGTTACGGAACTTGTTTCAAATCGAAATATCAAAACAACACAAATGTCTAACTGATTATACAGAATATTCGGCGAATCGAAACACAAATTATAAATTATACCGAAATTAGCAAACACCGCAACCTTCACAGAGTTGTTTAACCTTTTGCAACATATTTCTGTTGCTTGTATTTTTAAATGTTCTGCGTCATGAGCCTTCAGCCAACTAATACGAATTTGCACAAAAAGGAAAGTATACAAAATGCGAGACGTGGAATTGTGTCAAGAATGGGCGCTAGAAATCTTCAATAAAAATTGAGTTACAGTTATTCGAAATTAGCATAAGCTCTATTCGAGCTTTTTTCATATATTTATTTAATGACAACTAAAGTCCGTCGACATAAAAATTAAAAATAAAAAAAAAACATATAAATAAATTAAAAGATATATTAAATTAAATGTCAAATGAAATCTACTATTATATTTAAAATAAGAAATAAATATTTATAAGAAGTCTAGCGAATTTAATGTTTTCAAATGTTTAAACCTTCTTTTCCTTGCAGCAAAATAGTCGATAAGAAGCCGAAGAAGGAGAATGAGGGCGGAGAGCAGCAAAGCTGCAATGTCTGCTGTGCAGACCTGGATTTAAGCAGTGCCAAAAAGTAAGTGAAAAAATAACCACTCTCTGTCCCATCCCATACCCCTCACTAACTTGCTGCACTATTCCGGTAGTTACGTCAGATGTTGCACATGCGGCAAGTGCGTGTGCCGCAGCATCAAGTGCGCGGAATGGCGGCCAAAGGCTGCCCAATGGGAATGCGAACTGTGCCACAGTTCCAAGCAATCGCTGGAGCAGACCTCGTCCTGGGTGGCCGAACAGATGTCCTTCAACCAGCAGAAGTACATCTACCCACTGCGTGCCCGCAGCGAAATCTATATACCCATTAGTGCAGACATGGCCGATAGCACGTTGAGTAAGTATAAAAACATCAGCTAATTTTAGCTCGTTTTAAGCTAACATCAATCAATTCATCAACAGACTTTGAGAGCGTCAGCCAGATCGGCGCGAATAGTGTGGCCATAATGAATGGAGATGAGCGCAACAGGATACGCGAATATGTTGAGGAAATTGTTGCGGAAATGCTCGGCAGCAATCTCGATCACATCAAAGTCGGTCAATTGTCTAAAAGCGAGAACTGTAAGTAACAAACCAGACTCAATCGCAGATTGGCTTAGATTTGATTAGTGCAAATGCAATTCAGTCAGGCACTCGGGGAAAATGCAAAACGCGACAAATTTGCTCAATTGTTGCGAATTAAAAGAGCAGCGCATTGCTTGAATTTATCATTTGTCTGTACACATATATATATATATATATATATATATATATACTCTAGCCAGTGGGACATTATTTAAGAGCTGCCTTTTGCGTCGCACAAGTGCTAAAAGTACTTATATACCCAGAAAGTAAATGTACTCAGTGCTGAGTGCTGAGTGCGATGAACCAAGGCTTAAATGGCTTTCTCTTCTTCTCAATTCGCAAATCGCTGCAATTTCGCCAATTATATCATTCAAATAATGAGCAAATGTTGTCAGTTATTTGGCGAGCCTAAAAGTATGCAGCAGAAATTTACATTTGGAATTTCGAAATTTTCAATCATTCTTGTCTTAGCTGAGTTTTTTTGTTTCCTGAACTTATATTTATGTTTGTGATTTATTGAGTTAATTTAAAAACTTTCAAAATAGCACTTTAGTTTTAGCTCTCCGTAAAAAGTTTAAGTTAGTAAAAAGCTCTCTTCATCAGAAGCAAGTTCTTATAAAATATCATAGCATACTTTGTGTTGCTTTGCTGGCAAAAGCTTTGTCAACGTTCATTGCATACTTTTAATGAAACCTTTTGCACTCACACTCAATCGACACACATACACACACACAATTGAACTGCACACAGACATGCAGCTTTTCTATAAATACCATGCGAAACTGAGCAACCTGCTTATCAATTTGGAGAACGCTTTAAGCGCTCGCATGCTCAAAGGAGGTAAGTTCAGAAGTCCTGCGCACTGTGGCCGTTTGCTTGTGCAGCCGTTTCGTGCCACGCTATTAATTAATAAAGTATATCGCCTGTTATCTAAATTGAATTCGGTTTAACATCGTATCGCGGCATGAATCATGGCCATATAAATCGTATTTCTATATTGCACGTAGATATCTTTCTAATATACTGTGTGCTCGTATACGTAATATTGTAAAACTGTGCTGAAATCAATGAGAATACTATAGCTAAATTCTTTAACTATCAGTAAATAATAAAGAAAACACAAACAACACTAAAGACACAACTAAAATCGCGGTCAACACTCGTTGATAACAGCAACAGCAACAGACACACACACTCACGACAGCTTGTGATAAGGCAAAAAAAAATCATATACGGGTCTGATAAGAGCCTAGTGTATCTCAATTGAAATAACCGACATGTACAACACCCGGTAAGCACTAAAGCTGTGTAGCGACAGTTGGCCTTAACCAGATGACAAACTGAGATACACTCGCATTAATCATACGAAGCGTACGCCGTACGCCGACATTGCTCACCAACTGGTTCGCTTAACAGCTGCAAATTGACAATTTACACGGCTACTCGAGGTTCCAACCTCAGCACATTTACTCACACGTCTATAGTCTTCAGTTATTTTTTTTTTCTGAAGTTTTCGTTTAAAATTTGACAGCACCTTTAAAAGCCACTCGTCATTATGTGTTAGTGAAATAAATTAAAGACACGCTAACACGGCGATTTCAAATAAACATGTCAATCACATTCTGAAGATTGCACAAAAAAATCTACAACAATGTTATGAAGGTAATAGACCTGTTACCTATACAGGAAACATGAGAATTTCAAACTCAATTTAGTGAGGCGTGCTGCGAAAATTAATGGCATAATTTTGTAGTAATTTTCCATTATCAAAGTTTATGTATAGAAACGTCTCAGGGCATTCTTATGTCGAGTGTAAGACTATAAGCTATCAGCCAAAAGTTATCTTTAGCCTCAGCATGCTTGGAGATAATTATAAAAGATTTCGCATAGCTTTCGGGCCTAAAAGTTTTATAAAGAGCGCTCTTTTCTCAACTCTTTAGGCATCAAAAATGTATTTTGCTTATAACAGTTTATTTTGTATTCAAGACGGCTTTAAGCTTATTTATAAAACCGACATAATTCTTTAAATTTCTCCCTATTATAAATATATATAGAAAAGAAATATCTAATACAGTCAGACAAACATTTTATAGCTTAAGAAGTCTATGAGAATTCGTACGCTTTAAGATATTTATTAATTCTTTTGCGAGCTTTACCAAATTGGCCGCAATGAGTGTGAATATCGAAATGCCTCAATACACAAAAGCGAACTGTTTGTATGCCATTACAATGCTATAGTTAGCTATAGATATCTGTGTGTATGTGTGTGTGTGTGTGTGTGTGTGTGTATGTGAGTGTTTGTCTGTGTATGTGTTTGTGAGCACGCTCAGCACACACGCTGGCGCTGTTGCTGCTTCTGCTGCTGGCGGCAGTTGCCGGACGCAACGCGCGCTAATCGCAACGTTTTTGGCCGAGCGCCAAGCAGCCAAACGCCGGGTGAAAAAAGTTATTTCTTTACGTCAACGTGTTCAAAGTAAAAGCAACAAAATTTAACTAAAACCACTTAACGTGATAATGAAATAATAAAAATAAGAAAAAAAAAGCAAAGTAAAAGAAAGACGCATAATACAAAAGTAACACTTGCTCACTTTTCGCCTATGCAGATAACAGATAACATATATACACAGGCACCCTCGCAGACACACACACACACACACACACACACACACACATACAAGCACACACACTCACTCTCGGTGATACTCAGTTGTGAAAGCAGCTCATACTTATCACCAACCTTGACCCCCTACATAAATTAGAAACGAGAAAAATGAAATAATAAATACCAATGCTTAGCTTTAAACGTGGCCTACACAGCGAACCAGGAAAAATGTTTAATCAGCGTTAATAAATATTAATGATGATGGCTTTAAGCGGACAACAAATTATGCGCCAATACTATATGCAAAATTCAAATGCCGCACGACTTAAATAATATTTTTATTTTTATTTTTATTTTCAATACTGATGTGAGAAAACTAAAATTCAAAGCTAAAGTTAACAAACGACACTTAATATTGTTTGTGAAGTAATTTTCAAGTGAACTCTGAACTGAACTTGACTCTCTGCGCACCTTGTACAGAACAATTATATAAATGATAATATATGTACACAGATGTTTGCATTATAAATAGGTATGATCTGATCCGGCTAAGGTTCAGCTCAAGTTGAGACTTCAGGTTCAGGTTCAGGTTCGGATTTGCTTCATTAATGATACTCGTATGCAAAGTGAGGCAGATACATTTCAATCTTTGACATTTTGTGTGCACAGCTCAATGACTAACGGCGCTCAAGCGATACAAACAAACAAACACGCACACACACACACAAACACACACAAAGACGCACGCACTTACACACAATGGAAATGTCAGAGAGGCGTCGAAGTAAGCGATAAAGAAATTCAGTGCTTTTTGTAAAAGCTAAACAGATAAACTCCAGGTTATTAATTATATTTTACCGCAAAAGCTAAAGCGCTTGTAGCACAAAAGAAGACTCAACGCATATAAATTTTTGCGTCTTTTTTTTTTTTTTTTTTGCTGTGTGTGTGTTTGTTATAAATGCGATTTTCAGGTTGAACAAGCTTACACTATAATATATATATTTAATGTATTTATGCCTGGACTTTACGCTGACTGCTCAAGCGTTCAGCTCACTCAAAATCAAAATAAATGAATATTTGTACACACACATGAATGTTTTTCTTTTATTTTACTCTCTTCTTTATTTTTTGTGCTGACCATGCGGCGTATGCGTAATTTGCTAGTATTACATGAGTGTCAGTGTCAGTGTGTGTATTTGTTTATTTATGTGCGTGCGTGTGTGTGTGTGTATCTTTAATTAAAGCATAACATTAATATTTACCCATGCCAAACAAACAAACAAACAAAACCAATACGGAATTAGCGACTGTTAACTAAAAACAATAAACAAATATTGCAAATAAAGCTGCCTAAACAGCCCAAGTGAATACCCGACTTGCCCACGTACATATGTAACCACTCAATATTGAATACTGTCGTGAATACTTGTGTGATTTGTGTTGCATGCAGCATGGACTTTACGTTGGGCCTGATAACTGGCATGTATGCCGTTGTAGCTGTTATTATATTTTACGTTGTTTACGTCATTGAGGTGAAATTAGGTATGCCCACCTCTCAATAACACACATACTCACTCACACACTCACACACTCACCCACTCACTCACACACTCACTTTCTACGCACACATTCGCATACTCGCGACTTTTCACTTTTCCATTCATCATTGTTTGATTTGTTAACTCTTTTGTTGACTTTCGTGCTAACAATTCGCATATTCTTAGACTCTTAGATGACTTTTGTTGACCAATTCGCCTGCTTACAGATTTGCCCGCCATTGTCAATGGCAATAATAATAATAACAACAACAGCAACAGCAACAACAACAATAATAACAATGAACAACTCTCGGACATCTCGCAGACTCGTCTGCGCAGCCTCATTGAGAGCATTATTACTGAAACGCTGCGGAGCAACAATCTCCTGAATCCCAGCGGCGCCGTCTCCGAAATAAGTTTCGACACACGGGGCTCCACGGGGCAACTGTCGAGCTTTAGTAATGGCAACATCAAGAGACGCCACCGCACCGAGCACTATTTTGAGCCCAAAATCTATCAGGATCTTTTGGCCACAGCGGTGCTCAATAAGGTAAGAGAAATTCACTCGATCAAACGGAGATATCTAAATACCAAATGCTCTTAATACTCTGTGCTACATTTGTTTGTGGTTCAGATGAATATTCACATTATATTTGGTGTTTTTGTACAATTCAAGATATGCTCTAAAATCTATCGATAGTTTTACTATACAAGATCATTATAAAATCATCATAAGATCAGATTTGGTACCACATTCAGTTGTCTGTCTTTCTGCCCGTCTGAATGAAATAAGAGATCACAGAGACTCTAATTTTTGAAGAAATGTTGAGTATAAATTCTCCTCGGAAATATCGATAAAAATCGAAATTTGTGATAGCACTAAAAGCCACAATCTTAAAGTTATAACCGTCCAATTGATATATAATATATATTGACATATTATTGAACAACTGTAGCTAATTTCATAAGGATATTGATATTTTTAAGAGGTATTGACAAAAATAATATTAACAAACATTTCCAAAGATCGACCTCTTTAGGTTAATGTCCTCTTGCTTTTTTAGTCAGTGCCACTTACATATATCTGCTCAAATTCAGACTATTATTTTTAGCAATTTGCAGGCGTATAAAAACTGACCTGCCACAAACAACTGTTGCATGTCGCACAGCTTGTGTTGACCTCGCTTGTTATACCGTCTAATTCGCGCCGCCAATTTCTATTTCCGCCTTCGTTCAGTTTTCACTTTCATTTGGGGCTGCACTTGACGGGTTTCCAATATGGCTCAAAGCTATTACAAATGCAGGCAACGCTAATTAGTTGCTGGCCATTGTTGGAAGCGTACGGACGCATTTAACGGAACGGAAACTGAAGAATAAGCGCATCAGCTACCCCAATCACTAATTGGATCATAGAATTTTCAGCCAGAGGAAAAATCTGGATTTTTCCATAGTCAAAAATCGTATTTAATTGCTGTTATTGAGCAAACAGTCATGGCAGAGCCAGCACAACATGTAAATATTACAACAACTGTAAATAACAGACAGAGTTTATATTGCTTACCCGATTCCCAAAATTATAATCTATATCTTATCAGTCACTAATATACATATCATACTGTATCAACATAAGTGCAAAAACTTTTAGATTAGTCACGTTTTTATTGAGCTACGAAAATCTCAATCGACACTTAAAGGCTTAGTTATTTTTAGCTATCTTCTATTCGATATAGTTGTAGGTACAAGCATGACGTCACAGCTTAACAAAAGTCTATATACGGTCGTTTTACAACACAGTGCGGCAAATGTTGCCAGTTACCTTTTTTTTATTACACATTATTTGCCTAAGTTTATACAATTTCTCTCACTCATTTGCACAGATTGCGGACAAGGAGGGCAATACCAGACTTATAACGGAAAGTACACCGGACCAGAGTGCTCACAACATTGATGAGAATTACAATGCCGAAGAGTTGAGCACTACGTCCGGCAGTTCAATAGAACCACGCAGCGATTGCAGCTTCACCGATCATGAACTGCAACTCAATGTAAGCATGCATAACTAACCCGGTTCTATACATGTATATATATATATAAATATATATATAATATATATACTAAAATTGCAGCCTGAAAAGTCCGATGTGCATGCGAGTTTGCAGCTGGATATGGAAAGTGAATCGGTCTTGAGTGACTATATAGCCGCTCACATGGTGCCACTACCGGATTTCTCAGCATCCGTTACCGAATCCGAGGATGGTAAGTAGAGAACAAACCAATACCACACGAAACATGAATTGATTTCATCACAACTCGCACCAGATGTTGTCTCAATGTCATCGAGCATGGTCGGCGATGGCACCTGGGAAGACAATTGGCTATTCAAGAAGAAGCGCAACACCCTGCAAAGCTCGGGCACACCGAGCAGCATTGGCATGTTGGTGCCGGCGCCCAAAGAGAATGTGCGTGCTCAGATCGGCGATCGCACTGCCGATGAGGTTAGCGATCTATCCGAGATGGGCTCGGATGCAGAGGAATCGATGGATTTGACGCGTTGCAATGAGCTAAACGATCGGCTGTTGAGCAAGCATCTGATCGGTGGACAGAATACAAAACTTGTACTCGATGAGCTCGTGGATCGCACGAGTTTGACCTCAAATACTTTGCCAGCGGAGCATGAGCCCGCTTTTACCGAGACCACAAATCCGCTCGTCACACAACCGGCCACAGTTGCCGCCGTAACAGAAGAGCAAAAAGTAGCTGAGTTAATGCAGCCACCACCACCAATGACTTTTCAGGATAATCATGAAAATGAGAACGAACCCATCCAGACCCTCATAGCAGGTAATTGCACAATTATTTTTTACTCTTACAAATCCACCCAATTCACAATTCCTTAATGCTAACCAATTCATTTACACAGTATTACCTGCCCCTAAGTTTGATTAGTTTAAGTGTCTTAGTCCCCTAGTCCATTTTGTAGCCCAGTCGGAACACACCCGTAATGTAACTCAGCGTATCTGTGCATAGTTTTGAAGCAGCGGCATTCAGCAGTCGTTTGTGTTACAGCAGCTCCATGTGAATCAGACGATATCTGCGATCTCGAGGGCTGCACAGGCTTCGGAGACGTTGAATACTTGGATGATAGCCAGCTAGAGGAAAAAACTCCCTCGGTTATTGAAATACTAGCAGCTATGGCTCTGGGACCGATGCTAGCAGTTCCAGCTTCCGACCAACCTCCTGTTATGAGCGCCACGGAAATTCACACACTTAAGGAACTTAGTGATTTGGCTCTTGCCGAAATCAACGCCCGCACAATGGAGCTGACATTTCATTCGCTGGACATTATTGATGAGGAGTTCACAGATGCACAAACAGCTCCTGCCCCAGAAAATGAAGAAGAATTCTTTGAAGTAGAAAGTATACCACAGCCAGATTACGACTTTACTGAAGCTCCAACACAAACACTTGACGACAATACAGCAGCAGAAGTCTCTGTAGAAGCTCTTAAGGCAGGTGAAACTCCAGCAATTGACGAGATTACCACTATAGAAATCAAACCTGAACAACAAGCTGCTTCTCCACTACCAATTGAAGAACTTACCAATGCAGAAGTAGTAAAGGAAGTTGCTGCTGCAACAGTGGTTCCAGAGCAACAAGACGCCCCAATGATGGATCCAGCGCCAGCAATTAAGGATATTCCTCCTGCAGAAATAGTTACAGACCAACAAGCTGTTCGCGGGGAAGTTCCCGCATCAAATATTGAAGAAGTTACTACCGCCGAAGTAGTTCCTGAGCAACAAATTACTCTTCAGCAAGCCGCAGCCCCAGCAGTTGAGGATGTTATTAGTGTAGCAATCGCATCAGAACAAGCTCCAGCACCAGCAGTTGAAATAGTTTTTACAGTGGAACAACAAATTGTTCATCAGGAAGCTTCAGCAGCAGCAGTCGAGGAAGTTACTACGGCAGAAGCAGTGCCAGAGCAACAATCTGCTTTAGAGGAAGTTCCAGCAGAACTTCCAGTTCCAGAAATTGCCACCGCAGAAGTAGTTCCAGAGCCACAATATGCTCTAGAAAACATTCCTGCACCAGCATTTGAAGGAGTTGCTACCGCAGAAATAGTTCTAGATCCACAATATGCTCTAGAAGATATTCCTCCACCAGCAATGGAAGTAGTTCCAGAGCAACGTGTGGTTCCACCAACCGCAATTGAGGATTTTGCTCTTGACGAGCAACAAGTTGCTCAAGAGGAAGTTTCAATACAAGCAATTGAGGATGTTGTTCCTACGGCAATAGTTTCAGAACAACAAGTTGCTCCCGTGGAAGTTCCAGCACCAGCAATCCAGGAAGTTGCTACAGCAGAAAGAATTGCAGAGCAACATGTATTTCCCACGGAAGTTCCAGCCTCAGCAATTGAGGATGTTGCTATCGCACAAGTAATTCTGGGGCAACATGTTGTTCCCGCGACGGCTCCAGCAACAGTAATTCAGGATGTTGCTACTGCGGAAGTTGTTTCAGGGCAACAAGTTGCCCCAACGGAAATTAAAGCATCAGCAACTGAGGGTGTTGCTGATGGAGAACTAGTTCCAGAACAACAAGTTGCACCAGATGAAGCTCCAGCAATTGAGGATGTTGCTGCTGCAGAAGTAGTTCCAGAGCAACAAGTTGCTCCCGAGGAAATTCCAGCACCAGCAATTGAGGATGTTGCTGCTGCAGTAGCAGTTCCAGAGCAACAAGTTGCTCCCTATGAAGTTCCAGCAACAGCAATCGAGGATGTTGCTGCTGCAGAAATAGTTCCAGAACAACAAGTTGCACCAGAGGAAGCTCCAGCAATTGAGGATGTTGCTGCTGCAGAAATAGTTCCAGAACAACAAGTTGCACCAGAGGAAGCTCCAGCAATTGAGGATTTTGCTGCTGCAGAAGTAGTTCCAGAGCAACAAGTTGCTCCCAAGGAAATTCCAGCAACAGCAATTGAGGATGTTGCTGCTGCAGTAGTAGTTCCAGAGCAACAAGTTGCTCCCAATGAAGTTTTAGCAACAGCAATTGAGGATGTTGCTGCTGCAGAAATAGTTCCAGAACAACAAGTTGCACCAGAGGAAGCTCCAGCAATTGAGGATGTTGCTGCTGCAGTAGTAGTTCCAGAGCAACAAGTTGCTCCCAATGAAGTTTTAGCAACAGCAATTGAGGATGTTGCTGCTGCAGAAATAGTTCCAGAACAACAAGTTTCTCCCGAGGAAATTCCAGCACCAGCAATTGAGACTGTTGCTGCTGCAGTAGCAGTTCCAGAGCAACAAGTTGCTCCCTATGAAGTTCCAGCAATAGCAATCGAGGATGTTGCTGCTGCAGAAATAGTTCCAGAACAACAAGTTGCACCAGAGGAAGCTCCAGCAATTGAGGATTTTGCTGCTGCAGAAGTAGTTCCAGAGCAACAAGTTTCTCCCGAGGAAATTCCAGCACCAGCAATTGAGGATTTTGCTGCTGCAGTAGCAGTTCCAGAGCAACAAGTTGCTCCCAATGAAGTTTTAGCAACAGCAATTGAGCATGTTGCTGCTGCAGAAATAGCTCCAGAACAACAAGTTGCACCAGAGGAAGCTCCAGCAATTGAGGATATTGCTTCTGCAGAAGTAGTTCCAGAGCAACAAGTTGTTCCCGAGGAAATTCCAACTCCAGCAATTGAGGATGTTGCTGCTGCAGTAGCAGTTCCAGAGCAACAAGTTGCTCCCTATGAAGTTCCAGCAACAGCAATCGAGGATGTTGCTGCTGCAGAAATAGTTCCAGAACAACAAGTTGCACCAGAGGAAGCTCCAGCAATTGAGGATGTTGCTGCTGCAGAAATAGTTCCAGAGCAACAAGTTGCTTCCAATGAAGTTCCAGCAACAGCAATTGAGGATGTTGCTGCTGCAGAAATAGTTCCAGAACAGCAAGTTGCACCAGATGAAGCTCCAGCAATTGAGGATGTTGCTGCTGCAGAAGTAGTTCCAGAGCAACAAGTTTCTCCCGAGGAAATTCCAGCAACAGCAATTGAGGATGTTGCTGCTGCAGAAATAGTTCCAGAGCAACAAGTTGCTCCCTATGAAGTTCCAGCAACAGCAATCGAGGATGTTGCTGCTGCAGAAATAGTTCCAGAACAACAAGTTGCACCAGAGGAAGCTCCAGCAATTGAGGATGTTGCTGCTGCAGAACTAGTTCCAGAGCAACAAGTTGCACCAGAGGAAGCTCCAGCAATTGGGGATATTGCTTCTGCAGAAGTAGTTCCAGAGCAACAAGTTGCTCCCGAGGAAATTCCAGCACCAGCAATTGAGGATGTTGCTGCTGCAGTAGTCGTTCCAGAGCAACAAGTTACTTCTCAGGAAGCTCCAGCATCAGCAACTGAGGATGTTGCTGCTGCAGAAGTAGTTCCAAAACAAGTTGCTCCTGAGGAAGCTCCATCATCAGCACCAGCAATTGAGGATGTTGCTCCTGTAGAAGTAGTTCCAGAGCAACAAGTTGCTCCCGAGGAAATTCCAGCAACAGCAATTGAGGATGTTGCTGCTGCAGTAGTAGTTCCAGAGCAACAAGTTGCTCCCAATGAAGTTTTAGCAACAGCAATTGAGGATGTTGCTGCTGCAGAAATAGTTCCAGAACAACAAGTTGCACCAGAGGAAGCTCCAGCAATTGAGGATGTTGCTGCTGCAGAAGTAGTTCCAGAGCAACAAGTTGCTCCCGAGGAAATTCCAGCACCTGCAATTGAGGATGTTGCTGCTGCAGTAGTACTTCCAGAGCAACAAGTTGCTTCCAATGAAGTTTTAGCAACAGCAATTGAGGATGTTGCTGCTGCAGAAATAGTTCCAGAACAACAAGTTGCACCAGAGGAAGCTCCAGCAATTGAGGATGTTGCTGCTGCAGAAGTAGTTCCAGAGCAACAAGTTGCTCCCGAGGAAATTCCAGCACCAGCAATTGAGGATGTTGCCGCTGCAGTAGTAGTTCCAGAGCAACAAGTTGCTCCCAATGAAGTTTTAGCAACAGCAATTGAGGATGTTGCTGCTGCAGAAATAGTTCCAGAACAACAAGTTGCACCAGAGGAAGCTCCAGCAATTGAGGATATTGCTTCTGCAGAAGTAGTTCCAGAGCAACAAGTTGTTCCCGAGGAAATTCCAGCACCTGCAATTGAGGATGTTGCTGCTGCAGTAGTACTTCCAGAGCAACAAGTTGCTCCCTATGAAGTTCCAGCAACAGCAATCGAGGATGTTGCTGCTGCAGAAATAGTTCCAGAACAACAAGTTGCACCAGAGGAAGCTCCAGCAATTGAGGATGTTGCTGCTGCAGAAGTAGTTCCAAAGCAACAAGTTGCTCCCGAGGAAATTCCAGCACCAGCAATTGAGGATGTTGCTGCTGCAGTAGTCGTTCCAGAGCAACAAGTTACTTCTCAGGAAGCTCCAGCATCAGCAACTGAGGATGTTGCTGCTGCAGAAGTAGTTCCAAAACAAGTTGCTCCTGAGGAAGCTCCATCATCAGCACCAGCAATTGAGGATGTTGCTCCTGTAGAAGTAGTTCCAGAGCAACAAGTTGCTCCCAATGAAGTTCCAGCAACAACAATTGAGGATGTTGCTCCTGCAGAAATAGTTCCAGAACAACAAGTTGCACCAGACGAAGCTCCAGCAATTGAGGATGTTGCTGCTGCAGAAATAATTACAGACCCTCTACCACCAGCAATCCATGTGGCTGCTCCTGCAGTAGTTCCTGAGCAACAAGTTGCTCCCGAGGAAATTCCAGCACCAGCAATTGAGGATGTTGCTGCTGCAGAAATAGTTCCAGAACAACAAGTTGCACCAGAGGAAGCTCCAGCAATTGGGGATATTGCTGCTGCAGAAGTAGTTCCAGAGCAACAAGTTGCTCCCAATGAAGTTCCAGCAACAGCAATTGAGGATGTTGCTGCTGCAGAAATAGTTCCCGAACAACAAGTTGCACCAGAGGAAGCTCCAGCAATTGAGGATGTTTCTGCTGCAGAAGTAGTTCCAGAGCAACAAGTTGCTCCCGAGGAAATTCCAACTCCAGCAATTGAGGATGTTGCTGCTGCAGAAGTAGTTCCAGAGCAACATGTTGCTCCCGAGGAAATTCCAACTCCAGCACTTGAGGATGTTGCTGCTGCAGAAATAGTTCCAGAACAACAAGTTGCACCAGATGAAGCTCCAGCAATTGAGGATGTTGCTGCTGCAGTATTTCCAAAACAAGTTGCTCCTGAGGAAGATCCAGCATTAGCACCAGCAATTAAGGATGTTGCGAGTGCAGAAATTGTTCCAGAACAGCAAGGTGCACCAGGGGAAGCTCCAGCATTAGCACCAGCAGTTGAGGATGTTGCTACTGCAGAAGTAGTTCCAGAGCTACAAGTTGCTCCCAGTGAAGTTCCAGCAGCAGCAATTGAAGATGTTACTGCAGCAGTATTAGTTCCGGAGCAACAAGTTGCTCCCGCGGAAATTCCAGCAATTGAGGATGTTGCTGCTGCAGTAGTCGTTCCAGAGCAACAAGTTACTTCTCAGGAAGCTCCAGCATCAGCAACTGAGGATGTTGCTGCTGCAATAGTAGTTCCAAAACAAGTTGCTCCTGAGGAAGCTCCATCATCAGCACCAGCAATTGAGGATGTTGCTGCTGCAGAAGTAGTTCCAGAGCAACAAGTTGCTCCCGAGGAAATTCCAGCACCAGCAATTGAGGATGTTGCCGCTGCAGTAGTAGTTCCAGAGCAACAAGTTGCACCAGAGGAAGCTCCAGCAATTGAGGATGTTGCTGCTGCAGAAGTAGTTCCAGAGCAACAAGTTGCTCCCGAGGAAATTCCAGCACCAGCAATTGAGGATGTTGCTGCTGCAGTAGTAGTTCCAGAGCAACAAGTTGCACCAGAGGAAGCTCCAGCAATTGAGGATGTTGCTGCTGCAGAAGTAGTTCCAGAGCAACAAGTTGCTCCCGAGGAAATTCCAGCACCAGCAATTGAGGATGTTGCTGCTGCAGAAATAGTTCCAGAACAACAAGTTGCACCAGAGGAAGCTCCAGCAATTGAGGATGTTGCTGCTGCAGAAGTAGTTCCAGAGCAACAAGTTGCTCCCGAGGAAATTCCAGCACCAGCAATTGAGGATGTTGCTGCTGCAGTAGTAGTTCCAGAGCAACAAGTTGCTCCCAATGAAGTTCCAGCAACAGCAATTGAGGATGTAGCGGGTACAGAAATAGTTCCAGAACAGCAAGTTGCTCCCGAGGATATTCCAGCAATTGAGGTTGTTGCTGCTGCAGAAATAATTACAGACACTCTACCACCAGGAATTGATGTGGCTGCTCCTGCTGTAGTTCCAGAGCAACAAGTTGCTCCCGAGGAAGTTCCACAACCAGCAATTGAGGATGTAGCGGGTACAGAAATAGTTCCAGAACAACAAGGTGCACCAGGGGAAGCTCCAGCATCAGCACCAGCAATTGAGGATGTTGCTGCTGCAGAAGTAGTTCCAGAGCAACAAGCTGCTCCCAATGAAGTTCCAGCACCAGCAGTTGAGGATGTTGCTGCTGTAGAAGTAATTTCAAAGCAACAGATTGCACTACAGAAATCTCCTGCATCAGCAATTACAGAAATGAGTCCAGAGCACAAAACTGAATCAGCAATTAAGGACGCAGTTTCAGAGATGCAAGTCGCACCTGAGCAACAATCTAATTTAAAGGAAGCTCCAGTGCCAGCACTTGAAGATGTTACTCCTGTAGGAGTAGCTCCAGAGCAACAAGGTGTTCCCCAGGATTCTCCAGCACAATCAATTGAGGAGGCTGCTTCTACAAAAGCGGTTTCAGAAATATCAACTGCACCTCAGAAAGCTCCACCACCAGAAGTCAATGAACTTGTTCCAGAGCAACAGGTTGCTGCTGGTGAAGCTCCAGCTACAGCATTTGAAGAAGTTGCTCCTGCACAAGTAATACGAGAACAAAAAGTAGCTCTTCAGGATACTCCATCGCCTGCAACAGAGGAGGTTGCTAGTGCAGATATTGCACCAGGGCAACAAGTTCTTCCCGAGAAAGCACCAGCAGTAGCAGGAGTTGCTCCAGCAGAAGTAGAGGAAGCGGGGACTGCATCCCTCGTTTCTGACAAACAAATGCCCAATGAGGCAATTGAGACTGAAGATGAAACCTCTAAGATACAGCAAGCGACCACTGAATCTATGAGCGATAATTGCGCTCTAGGTAAAACGTCTCAAAAGTGCCTCCGAAGACAGACGAATATTGCAGACACAACACCGAGCGATGGAGATTCAGCTGCGAGACCTGTGAACCTCTTAGGAACCATTTGCAAGGCTTACATTAAGGACAAAAGACTGTTAGCAACAATCGAGAGACGTCGAAGACGCGCTCTCATTATGCACAAATACCTGAGTTCCTTTGATTCATTTGATGAGCCCATAGATGATGTAGAATATGGAACACAACATAGTCTTTTTGATGAGCTTTACTCATATCAGCCCTTAAGTTTAGATTATAGTAATGAGAGTAATGTTTTAGAGCCGACTGGGGAAGATAAAGATTCGCATTTATATTGTAATGAAAGCAATGAATTCACAACTCATGAGTCTAATGAAATAGTTTCAGATGATCATCATACAGATATTGCCAGTCCGTCATCAATTGATAATGCTGAGCACAGCGACGATGAGTTCTTCATCGTTGGTAGCTTTGCAGAAATTGGCTATAACTTTATTAACAATGTTCTCTTCTCAGATCAATTGAGCTCAGACTCAAATCACAGTGCACCCTCAACGACTCAAGAGACATTTAATGGCGATTCAGACTCAGTACTCGATTATGAGAATATTTACACGAGTGAAGCTCTGGATGAGTCAATCTCTGGCAGTAGCTTGCCAGCGAATGGTGCCACAACCAATACTAACAATACCACAAATACTAATACAGCTACTAACAATATTAGCATGTGCAATACTAATACAATACGAACACGGCCGAATGGTAAACTAACAAATGGTTCACTAAGATGGTCAAACAAGTCGCTCCAACAACAAAATGGCGTCGATTGTGATGATAATGATGTTATTAAGATCGATGATGATAATGATGTTGTACTGTTGCGGCGCTTTGCCCCAGGTAACACGCACTTATGGCCAACACAGTCATCACTCGGTGTTTGTTTGTCTCCTCTATCTTGCTTTAACTGTTCTGGCTAACTCTTGATGTTTGCTTGATAACTAGCTCAATGTGTTACCCTCAACACAGTACGGTTTAACTAACATCGAATCACATTGCAGGCTCCATTGCGGAACGCGAGGTCAAGAAGTGGTATAATGCCGTCGAAATGCCAAACAATCCGTATGCGCCCGAGGCACTAAAGCAACGCATCAGCGGCACACAGGAGCGCTTCATGGATGTGCCCAACATAAGTCCAACTGCAGAACAAAAAGCACTGGCGCTCATGACAAATAATGGCGAGAGTAGCCAGCCTGCCAGCCACGTCGAGGATTACAAGCGGTAAGTTGAGCTCGACATTAATAATTACCAAGCATACTTATTAGCTAAGTATACTAATTACCCAAGCTAACGGAGCAAATATAATTTCCTAATGGGGTCAGAGATGCTTCAGTCTCCGTTGCATTTAGTTACAAGAAAAGTAACACAGTCTCAAGTGTCTGTACTACATTTGAAAGTTCAAGGAATACTTTTTTAGAAGAGGAAGACTCGTTGTATTTCCTGTATTAAACTGAAGATTATTATTAATTAAGAAATTAACAAAAAAAATAAAATATCAGCACTGTCCAAATGTGCACATAAATTATTAAAATTAGAAATAAAATAAACTTCATTGCCTAAAGCTAATTGCCTATTAAAATTAAATATTTTTTACATTTACTATTCAATCGCGTTTCTTTGGCATCTTGGCATTGAATCAACCAAGTCCTGACATCATTTTAGAGGAATTTTACTCCAAGATTCCGAAATAACTTTAATGATTTGCTTAGAAGCAGCAACTGCATTTTAACATCAGCCCATCAATTTTCAATTGGGCTGAGTTTTGGTGAGATGATTTGTTGATGTTTCCTTTAATAATTCTTCAATTTTATACAAGAAATTGAGAAGCAATACTTTATTTTAATAATACATATTTTTTTACATCGTCCACAAATGGAACACGAATAGACTCTAAATACTCATCAAGTGTTTAACTCCCCTCTCTTTGCAGCTACAGTCGCGACTATTACATCAATGATGCGCCTAGTCCAACGAGTGGCCGAACGCCCAGCGGCAGCAGCTTGGAGCCAACAAGCGTTCACACCGATGAGGATATTGTGATCAATGAGGTAAATCAACAACTTGAACAACAAGAACAACAACAACAAGTTCAACAACCGCATGGCCGCATTTCAAGTACTAGTAATGTTGCTGACCTCTCACATTGGACGCTGTCGAAGCCTGTGCGACGCAGCAGCTCGCTAAAATTCATTAACCAACGTACAAGTACAAGTAGTATATCCCCCATCCCATTAGGACCCATCGCCCATGCTCATGCAGAGCGTCCCTCCACATCGGCGTCGCATTATCGCGACTCCAGCCTGGGCCTAGATCCGGGCTATGATGACTTTGACGTGCGTTCGCAGCGTTCGTGGCGCAGCAGCTGCAGTCGTCAGCAGTTTGGCAGCACGCTGCCCAAACGCCATACGCAATCGTCGCTGAGCCTGCACAGCAATGTTAGCGGCATATCCTTTGGCTCATCCGCATCCAAGCGGCGCACAAGTGGAGCTCAGGGGGTTGGTCCTTCCGCTGCTGTTTTGACGCAGTTCGAGAAGCAGCTGCTGCACAAAGACCTCAAACGGAACAGTTTCCGTGCCGTGTCCGCCACCTCAAAGGATTTCGTTATGAATCCACTGTTCGAGAGCGAACTGAAGTTAAAGCCCAGTTTGGACGACCAGGATTCGGGTGTCGATAGCTGTTTGAATGGCTTCAGCGGTGCCGATGCCAAATACAGCAACAATAGTCTACTCTTCTAGTGAGCTTTTATTTGGGGTTTTCTGGGGTTATTTCGGGTTAGCTTTTAGTCGTAGTCTCTGCCAAATTAGTCAGCCAAGTTAACAAAAAACAAAAAAGAAATAAAAACAACAACAAAATCACTAGTCAGTATAAAAAAGCCACACTAGCCCAAATAGAAATTTGCAAATTTGTACGGTTCTTCGGCGTCAAACGAAATGTTTAGAATCTCCAGCAAGGGCTTTAAAGTTGAAAGGCAGGCAGTGAGTGCCATCTGCTCAAAAAGTACTACTTACTTACTTGTATATTCCAAAATCGCACCTAGTTGCACCAGAATCTTTGCATTTGATTATTTGCATTCATATATAGATTGTTTTTCCCGAGAATGTGGAACTAGTGTTCCATTTCCGCAATTGTATCTACTATCAAGCAATGCAATGCAACAACTGAACAATAATAATTTTAATGCTAATTGCTAGTTGCTAATCAAGTATGCAGCATTCTTTTTTGTATGTTTTAATTATGATTTTTTGCTGTTATTCTTTTAAACATAACTCTTGTATGCACTTTAGTTAATTCATACATAATTAATTGCTAACTTCTATTATAAAAATACAAAAAACAATACAAATAATAAAGCCAAAAGTTAAACAAAAACCACAAAATAATCAAAGAAACAAATGTTTTTAGTAAATGCAAAAAAAATAAAACAAAAACAAAATATATATTTATATAAATATGCGGTGAGTACATTATAAATGTAAATAAACAGTAATTTACAATCATTGTTTGAATATGAAATTTTACTAACAACATTTGTTTCGCTTTTCGCTAAACTCACGTTAAATGTATATAAATTTTTTGATTCGTAGCTGTAACTAACGCGGACGTTTTTTTGCATGTTGCTGCCACATATAAACTCAAACATATGCCACTTACACACAAACACCCAAATACACCGCATAATCCTCAACAGAAATCACCAAGCATCCTGCTAAAGTAGCTCATTCCAAATAATTCTTTTGTGCCTAACGCTTAAAATTCTTCTTTCCATATACGTTATTATTCTATCTACACAAAAATCTAACCGAACTACATACAAATGTACCTAAACAACTACAACCACAACTACAACCACAACAACAACAACAACAACAAACAACATAACACACAACTTTATACACACGCCAAAAACAAAAAAAAAAAAAAACAACAAAAAAACAAACTGTTTATATCAAAAGGCTACAAGTGCAAGCAAAACCGCAGTCGAGATTCCGGATGTGGATAGTGTTTATACAGCATTGCCCGCCCAGGTGCTGGAGGCGAGCAACAGCAGTCTGGAGACGCAATCTTCGAATCCGTCGCTTCAAACGATTAGCGATGATTCGGATACGGTGCGTGTCTACGATTTCAATAAGCAGGAGACGACAGTCATTAAAGCGACGACAGCAGCCACGGAACAGCCCAGCACGTCCAGTACGTCATCTATGGAGTCGGCGTTGTGTGCAACACCCGACGCCACATCCTCTTCCTCTTCCATAGATGCGTCACGGAAACGTGAACGGCCCGTTGTGCTGCAGTTTGGGCCAGCGGATGCCACGCCCAATGCCTGCTCCTCGCCCACAATGACACCGACGCGAGGCTCCACTCCGCCAGCTTTTCGATTTCTGCAGCCCAAGCGGCGTCTAATCGAACCCAGTCAGGTGCTCTCCATCGACGACGATGATGTGGTAAGTAGCTGAAATCACATATTATTATGCTGTCAATCAATCTTTTTGTGTGTGTGTGTTGTGATTTTGTTAGCCACCAGAGCCAACAACGCCGGCCGAGAAGCCCGCTATCGAGGATGATGTGGTCAATGCTCTGCCCTCGGTGAAGGCACTGGCTCAAGCATTCCTCCTCACCAGCAAACGAACACAGCCCGAGCGACGCTGGCGTGCAAAGGTAAGTAACAGAAATGTTGCTATCGGATATCACCGACTGCTTTACAAAAAAAAGAACAGTAGAAAAGAGAGACAATCAGGCGTGCTCCGGTGGCTACAAGGCTAAATCTTTGATGAAATTCATTTCATCATTCTACCTTCAAAATTGGTTGACTGTAGCTCTAACACCGTAAGAGGTACTGTATTCTCCCATATGTGAATCTAAACAATTTTATAAGAGTATATATTTAATAACTTTAGTGATCTCTACACACACTTTTGGCCAAATAATGAAATACTTATTATAAATACATTTTAAACTCAACAGCATGTCAAACTGATGGCAGAGAAGTCGGAGAACCCATCCACTCCACAGGTGCGCCGACAGATGCTGCAACATGCCGTTTCCGTGGCCGAGGTGGCCGATGAATCGACAATTGCCTCCGATTTGTCATCACTCGAAACGTAAGCAGCTTAATTTTGACTTTGCATTGCATCACAGATTTAACCAATTACTAAACCCATAGAGATCCATCCTTGCAATCGGAGGGACAATCGATTAGCATACCCGTTGCCGCACAGGCAAGTCCAGTTCCCGTGCGACGAGGCTTCCTCAGGAGTAATATTGCTTTCTTTGAGAACTTAAAGTTTAAGTGAATATGTATACAACTGAGTGCCATGTGGATTGTGCTGCCATTGACTCATATTCCACTAGCGGGGAATATGCACAACAATGGTGCATATCAAATGCATATCCTCCTCGCCATCCCCTCACATACAAAAAAAGACACTGGATACCAAATCATCGCCAAATATTCAAATTCATCTGTGCCATGGCCTCCATTTACATACATAGAATGACGAAAGTAAACAAAGTACTTAACTTAACTTCAAATTTGACGCCCAGTAAGCGTAAAAAATGATTGCTTTTAGGTAATACATATATATTTATTATAGCTTTACACTAATATCCATGGATACTTTTTATTTAATATTTTAAATATATTATTTACCTCTAAGATATGTTTTAGTCTTAAGTAATGCAAAAACCGTTTGAAATTTCAATGTACCCGTAAATCCGATTTATCTAATACTTAATTGTTATAGTATATAAGGTCATATCAATAAAGAACCTCTAGTAAAACCAAATTCAAAACCAAAAACAAAGAGGTGTGAAAAAATATATAACAGATGCAAAAAATAATATTTTAATAAAAGTTAAGAAGTAAATAGAATTTGTATTATTGGGGTTAAGGCGCAGCATACTTTTGGGCTGGAAATTAAAATAATTGTGTAAGGAAATTGTAAATTTTGAAGCATACTTTTAGGCCGACCGGGAAAATTACCTGTTTCAATCGTTTGAATGACTTTCATATTCTTAATCAAATCGGCAAGCCAAGGACTATCTGTGATATAAAGGACATGCGGATAGTCTTTGCAATGGCAGAGTTATGCCAGATTTTTCGATTTTTCTCATCATTTCTAAATATCTGTAATTGTTGGTCAAATTATTTTGTTGAAATTAGAAAAACTTAAATGCTAATCGATAGTTATGGATGCTTTGTGTCCTTCCGATATCCTTACATAAATGGTCAAGTTATCTGCCAAAAACGAATAACCTTTCTATAAAATCACCTCGTACTGGCCGATTTTCAAAAGACACGGCACGGATCGCAATTACTAGATCTATTCACCCCAACTTTATCCTCTTCGACAAATGTTAAATAAATTTCTGTTGACACGTCCAGTTGAAAATTGTTTATTTTTATAACTTCATAAATTTGTAAGTTACTTTTTTACATCATTTAAAATATAGACGAGACATTAACATTAACAAATTAAATATTTTGTCATGTCTATGCGATTTGTACAAGTCACAATTGGTATTTAAATATTTCTATTAATGTATAATTATATCAAAAATAAATTCTATGGCTCGCAGCTGCATTTAAAATGCGATCGCTCAGAGCGATGAAAGATGAGTGAGCGAGTAGGAGTTCTGTTTGAAAATCATCTCACGTAGCACATTTGGAATGATGATCACAGGCAGCTGCTGGAGCACAAGTGGCTATGTGGTGTGATTGTGATGATGATGTGGATGCTCGGCCAGGTAGATGACATACACGAGCGGTATGACAAAACAGAGAGCGAGTATAAATATCAGCAGGCATATCCAGGACATGTCGCAATCGGAGCCAGACCAGTCAATCGCTCGAAGCGAGGGTCCTGGTATAGGACGCACTATCGGCGAATGCCTATCCACCAGCAAATCATCCATCAAGGCCATATGCTCATCCGATGGCTGCTCCATGTTGGCTGCATACAAATAACGAAATGTAAAATTACAAACGTGAACAAAATGCCCCATATTGGTCTATGGAATATATATGTATACATTAGTAAATACCAGCTAGTACTATATTTTGTGGATATTTTATTTTCTTAGTTAATGCTCAGCTGCAGCAGCAACAGTTTTGAGTTTAGCTTCCAGCACAGGTGAGGTGTGTTATACAAAATGTAACTTAATTGTAGGTCATATAACGAGGAGTGGCGCTGAACTTGGCGTAGCTCTTGATAACCTTGTTGACGGCCTCGAGGAAATCCTTTTCGGTGGCCACCTTGCGACGCGCTCGGATGGCAAACATGCCTGCCTCCGTGCACACTGAACGAATCTCAGCGCCCGTCGAATTCGGGCACAGACGCGCCAATAGATCAAAGCGTATGTCACGCTCCACGGACATGGAACGGGCGTGGATTTTGAAGATGTGCGAGCGTCCATCCTGATCGGGTAGTCCAAACTCCACCTTACGATCCAGACGGCCGGGACGCATAAGCGCCGGGTCCAATGTGTCGGGTCGATTGGTGGCCATCAGCACCTTAATGTTGCCACGCGGATCGAAACCGTCCAGCTGATTAATAAGCTCCAGCATAGTACGTTGCACCTCGTTGTCGCCGCCAGCGCCGTCATCGAAGCGAGCACCGCCAATCGCATCGATTTCATCGAAGAAGATGAGACACGCCTTCTTGGAGCGAGCCATCTCGAACAGTTCACGGACCATGCGTGCACCCTCTCCCACGTACTTCTGCACAAGTTCCGAGCCGATGACACGTATGAAGCAGGCATCCGTGCGATTCGCCACGGCACGCGCACACAGTGTCTTGCCCGTTCCGGGTGGGCCAAACAGCAGCACTCCCTTGGGTGGCTCAATACCGAGATTGACAAATTTCTCCGGGTGCAGCAGTGGTGTCTCCACGACTTCACGCAACTTTTCAATCTGCTCCTTGCAACCACCCACATCACTGTAGGTAACATCCGGTTTATCCTCCACCTGCATCATGGTTACAGTCGGATCAATTTTGGGTGGTAGCGGTATGTGAATCTGATACTTGTTGCGATCAACGCCCACACGCATGCCCTCCTCAATGTCTGTGGGTGCAACGGAATCGGCCAGATCTACCACAAACTTGGCAAACTGCTTCACATTGATGATATACTTGGGATCGTCGGAGTCGGCGTTGATGATCTTTGTGCAACGCGCTACTTGCAGCGGCTGCTCATTTTGCAGTATCTGCTTGTCAGCGGCCAAGTCCCACAGGGCTGGCGGTGCCAAGCCAGTGTCGCTCTCCTTAATTCCGGTTAGCTCGTTAACCTGTTTCACGGCCTTCTGTATATCCTCCTCGATGTTTTTAATGGACTTGTGGTATTGACTCTGGCCATACGTTTTCAGCAGTTCGATGTCGCCTTCGTCAAGCGACTTGATTTCTTTTTCTTCCTCTTTCTTCTCGACCTTTACTTTGCGCTGATCATCCCCCAGATAGTCCGGCATTTTATTATTTTTTAATCTTTAGCAGTGTAAAATTACTAATTTTGTGTTTTATTTTCGCCAACGCTTGTGTTTTCTAGCAGTTTTATGGGCGAGTGTGGCCGTATTGAGAATGACTAAACAAATTGCTAGCTGCGCCCAACTTCACTGCTTAGTTAGCAGCATTTAACAGATGCGCACACAGGGCGACTCAACTACACAAAGACTTTGCTAGGCTGGCCAGCTCTACCAGCTGTTAATCGCTTACATTATATTTTTGATCATTATATCAAAATGCCAGCCACCTTCAACTTTAAATAGTAATGCTTAATATTGACTCACCTCTGTCGTCCGGCGAACCATGTGTTCCCTCATAAAATTGGCTACCATCCTCTTTGAATAAGGGCTGCACTTCGCCAGTTTTTGCAGTGGAAGCATTCACAGCAGCCACCAGGAGTCGTTCATCGAGCATCATACGTGCATCTTCCAGCGGATTGCGTTCAATGGCAGGCTCCCTTTCCACATTATGCCTGGGACTATTGTTCCCACTGCGATGAACAGTGGGCAGCTCATTCACTTCAGTGCTCCCCAGCAGCACATTGTGCACTGTGACCGGGATGCGAATGATGCGATGTGCATGTATCTCATTGTCCCGATCAATCTTATTGAGGCGCTTAATATCCGCCACGGAGCAGTAGAAGCGCAGCGCCAGTGCCTGCAGCGTATCGCCCTCCTGCACTTTTACCTCGAGCGTGTTCTCAAAGCGCGATATCTTTATGTGGCCGTTGGTGGTTCTGTTTCCCAATTGCATCATGTCCACGAATTCGTTGTCGTTATGGGCGGGTCGTACAAAAATATCGTCAATTCCCTCAGACTGTAAATTATCCCAGTTGTGATGTTGTTGGCGCCTGAAATACGGAGCGAATCATGAGTATGCATGTAAATCACAAAGCAATAGTCGAGTTGGCGCTGACTTACACATTTCTACGCATTATATTTTTGGTCTGGCTCGAATTGGTCGAATGCGTCTCTTATTTCTAGCTTACACACACACAAACAGCAAGATTTAGTGCTTGTCAGCAGCGCACTCAAAGTAGCGTCTATTTAATTACGTGAAATTTCGTAAGGAAATATATAAACAAACAAACCCACGTCTTGAGACTGATGAACTTGCTCACTTGAAACACCCTGTGATATGTTCAAACACTAAGAAGAAGAGCTTACATTTAATTTGCGCTTAGAAAACTTATCTCGGCGATTTCACTGTAAAAATGGTGTGCACGAATTTTGACTGTCTTCTAAATTCGATTTTGTTTTGGCCCCTTATCAGCGGATTAATAATATTATTTGTAAGGCAAGTTTAATATTTAAAATTTAATTCAATTGAGCAACCCTGGGCAACATACCCAGTAGCTGCAAGCAAAGAGGATGCTTGTTCCCATATTATTCCTACACAAAACTCATTTATAACAAATATATCTTCAATATATGAACATTAGGATAAGATCTTAAAATACATAAGAGTAAACATGAAAACGTGATAAATGTGTAGTGCCATTGAATGTGTCAAATTGTAGTGAATTTTAAATTGGTTACAGGGTATTTGAAGTGTGTACGCATCCAGACAACGCGATTGTGTTTATTTAGAAAAGCGCTAGATTTTGCGCTCTTGTGTTTTTTTTTAATTGTTTTTGAGTAAAACATGACGATATTTGCATTTCTCAAAAGCCGGCCAATATTTTGGCTAAGCGTAACCGGGAGCTCAGTGGGCGGAGCATGTTTTCTAAAGTAAGTCGATTTAGATTTGATTCAACATTTGATAATTACAAACTGATGATTACCGATTGTAGAGATCTTATGCAAGGCTGCAAGTTCACAAAGGAATCGGATGAGACCGGCAAAGTTGTGATTGTGACCGGCTCCAATACTGGCATTGGTAAGGAGACGGTGCGGGAGCTGGCACGGCGAGGCGCGACAGTGTATATGGCTTGTAGGGATATGAAAAAGTGTGAGGAGGCACGCGAGGAGATCGTATTGGAGACACAGAATAAATACGTCTACTGTCGCCAATGTGACTTGGCCTCCCTGGATTCCATTCGCAACTTTGTAGCCACGTAGGATCGCATCTCAAATCAAATCAATTGCGTATATTATAACAGTTATCATTCGTTTTAGCTTCAAGCGGGAACAGGACAAGCTGCACATACTCGTTAATAATGCGGGCGTCATGCGTTGTCCACGATCCCTGACCAGGGATGGGTTTGAGATGCAGATTGGCGTCAATCACTTGGGTCACTTTCTGCTCACCAATTTGATGCTGAATCTGCTTAAGGTACAGCTGACTTAAGAATTTTAATTTTATATAAAGTTTCTATAGTTTTTTGCCACACCTTAGAAATCATCGCCCAGCCGAATTGTAAATGTGTCCAGTTTGGCGCATACGCGTGGTGAAATTAACACGGCGGACTTGAACAGTGAAAAGTCATATGATGAGGGCAAGGCCTACAATCAGAGCAAGCTGGCCAATGTGATGTTTACGCGGGAATTGGCCAGACGCTTGGAGGGAACTGGTGTGACTGTAAACGCCTTACATCCTGGCATTGTGGACACTGAACTCTTCAGACATATGAGCTTCTTCTCTAACTTCTTTGCAGGGTAAGTGGCTATATAAATATCTGCTTACTTTTCAAAACATTTTGAATTGCAGATTGTTTGTTAGGCCGCTGTTTTGGCCATTCGTAAAGACGGCCAAAAACGGTGCGCAAACCAGCTTGTATGCTGCACTTGATCCGGACTTGGCCAACGTAACGGGTCAATACTTTAGCGACTGTCAGCCTCAACAGGTGGCCGTCGCTGCAACGGATACTCAAATTGCGAAATGGCTTTGGACTGTCAGCGAAAAATGGACACGGTCAGAAATTTTAAAAGTGACTCAGACTATATAATTCGCAAATAATGTTTGTGATGCTCTAAAGAAGAAAACGTTAATTGAATTCTTTAGTACGTTTATTTGTAAATATACAGCATTAATAAATATCGATAAAATATGGATTTCAACCGATGTATTATTCCAGTGCTCAAAACATTCTAGATCATTACAATCGTTGTCATCGTGAGACGTCGTTTTTTTAGATTTTTGGGCGTACGAAATTCTTTTCGTTCGTACAGAACAAATGCGCATATAAATGCTTGCCGCAGTTGGCTTTGCCGTAGTTGCTAGTTGAGCGTTGCTATAAGTTGTGCGAATCATAAAATGGGCTGCTTTTTCGATTGTCTGATGTGCCCGTGTGTCGCGTGGGTAGCGGCTTTTGGCGTTGGAATCTATTTTCTAAGGTAGCTGATTTAAATATGTTTAGCAAGGATAACTATATAGATAAAAACCTATTTTGTTTCGCTTGCAGAGAGTATATGCAAGGTGGAAAGTTTAAGAAATACACGAATGAAACGGGCAAAGTTGTGATTGTGACCGGTTCAAACACGGGCATTGGCAAGGAGACCGTACTGGAATTGGCTCGTCGTAATGCCACCATTTATATGGCCTGTCGTGATAAGAAGAGAGCCGAGCAAGCAATGAAGGAAATCGTGCAGGAGACAAACAACAAAAGCATATTCGTCCGTGAACTGGACTTGGCATCTCTGGACTCCATTCGCAAGTTTGTCGACGAGTGAGTATGGCTTAAGACATTGTTAGCTGAAGTGCTTCAATATAAATATTATCAATTCGATATGTGTATGTAGTTTCAAAAAGGAACAGGACAAACTGCACATTCTCATAAACAATGCGGGCGTTATGCGTTGTCCACATATGCTGACCAAGAATGGTTTCGAGATGCAGCTGGGTGTCAATCATATGGGTCACTTTTTGTTAACCAATTTGCTGCTGGATCTGCTGAAGGTAATAGAGCTAATATTACAACTTTCTCCAACTATTTAATCCAATGATTTTCTAGAAAACTGCACCCAGCCGCATTGTCAACGTTTCCAGCTTGTTCCATACGTGTGGTGCCATCAATATTGATGACTTGAACAGCGAGAAGTCCTATGACGAGGGCAACGCATACAGTCAGAGCAAATTGGCCAACGTATTGTTCACACGCGAGCTGGCCAAACGCTTGGAGGGCACGGGAGTGACCGTCAATGCTCTCCATCCCGGTGCTGTTGACACTGAACTCGGCAGACACATGAAGATCCTTAACAATCTATTCGGCCGGTTAGTGTTTGTAATCATTAGCAAAGATTTATATTTCAACACATATTTTACGCTTATAGCCTTGTTCTGAAAACTTTGTTGTGGCCCTTTATGAAAACACCAAAGAATGGTGCACAGACCACATTGTATGCGGCTCTAGATCCCGACTTGGATAATGTAACAGGCATGTACTTCAGCGATTGCGCCTTAAAGCCAGTAGCACCCGCTGCCATGGACGATAAAACCGGAAAATTCCTATGGGAGGAGAGCGAGAAATGGACTCACTCAAAATATTAGATAAGTGTTTAAAGAAACTACGAATACATGAAGGAAAAAAGGTTATTGTACATAAATTATAATAAAGAGAGAACGTTGCAGTCGGGCGTAACCAAATGCGAAATACACAGATACCAATAAGTCAGATGTCACAGAATAGGGTGGTTGTAGCCAAGAAATACCGATCTTTGAAGGAGGTTCCAATTAAAATGTCTTCAAAGTTTGGTAAGTGTAGTTCTTAAATTGCGAGAGATATAGGCTATTACAGGTTTTGGAACGGTGGTGCGCGTAGGCCAGTACCAATATTCATTTTCGTGACTAGCTTTTAAATTGCGTAATATTTGTTGTGATTGTGACCGGCTCCAATACTGGCATTGGTAAGGAGACGGTGCGGCAGCTGGCACGGCGAGGCGCGACAATGTATATGGCTTGTAGGGATATGAAAAAGTGTGAGGAGGCACGCGAGGAGATCATATTGGAGACACAGAATAAATACGTCTACTGTCGCCAATGTGACTTGGCCTCCCTGGATTCCATTCGCAACTTTGTAGCCACGTAGGATCGCATCTCAAATCAAATCAATTGCGTATATTATAACGTTATCATTCGTTTTAGCTTCAAGCGGGAACAGGACAAGCTGCACATACTCGTTAATAATGCGGGCGTCATGCGTTGTCCACGATCCCTGACCAGAGATGGGTTTGAGATGCAGATTGGCGTCAATCACTTGGGTCACTTTCTGCTCACCAATTTGATGCTGGATCTGCTTAAGAATTTTAATTTTATATAAAGTTTCTATAGTTTTTTGCCACACCTTAGAAATCATCGCCCAGCCGAATTGTAAATGTGTCCAGTTTGGCGCATACGCGTGGTGAAATTAACACGGCGGACTTGAACAGTGAAAAGTCATATGAAGAGGGCAAGGCCTACAATCAGAGCAAGCTGGCCAATGTGATGTTTACGCGGGAATTGGCCAGACGCTTGGAGGGAACTGGTGTGACTGTAAACGCCTTACATCCTGGCATTGTGGACACTGAACTCTTCAGACATATGAGCTTCTTCTCTAACTTCTTTGTAGGGTAAGTGGCCATATAAATATCTGCTTACTTTTCAAAACATTTTGAATTGCAGATTGTTTGTTAGGCCGCTCTTTTGGCCATTCGTAAAGACGGCCAAAAACGGTGCGCAAACCACCTTGTATGCTGCACTTGATCCGGACTTGGCCAACGTAACGGGTCAATACTTTAGCGACTGTCAGCCTCAACAGGTTGCAGTCGCTGCAACGGACACTCAAATTGCGAAATGGCTTTGGACTGTCAGCGAAAAATGGACACGATCATAAATTTTAAGAGTGACCAGACTATATAATTCGCAAATAATGTTTGTGATGCTCTAAAGAAGAAAACGTTAATTGAATTCTTTAGTACGTTTATTTTTAAATATACAGCATTAATAAATATCGATAAGAAATGGATTTCAACCGATGTATTATTCCAGTGCTCAAAACATTCTAGATCATTACAATCGTTGTCATCGTGAGACGTCGTTTTTTTAGATTTTTGGGCGTACGAAATTGTTTACGTTCGTACAGAACAAATGCGCATATAAATGCTTGCCGCAGTTGGCTTTGCCGTAGTTGCTAATTGAGCGTTGTTATAAGTTGTGCGAATCATAAAATGGGCTGCTTTTTCGATTGTCTGATGTGCCCGTGTGTCGCGTGGGCGGCGGCTTTTGGCGTTGGAATCTATTTTCTAAGGTAGCTGATTTAAATATGTTTAGCAATGATAACTATATAGATAAAAACGTATTTTGTTTCGCTTGCAGAGAGTATATGCAAGGTGGAAAGTTTAAGAAATACACGAATGAAACGGGCAAAGTTGTGATTGTGACCGGTTCAAACACGGGCATTGGCAAGGAGACCGTACTGGAATTGGCTCGTCGTAATGCCACCATTTATATGGCCTGTCGTGATAAGAAGAGAGCCGAGCAAGCAATGAAGGAAATCGTGCAGGAGACAAACAACAAAAGCATATTCGTCCGTGAACTGGACTTGGCATCTCTGGACTCCATTCGCAAGTTTGTCGACGAGTGAGTATGGCTTAAGACATTGTTAGCTGAAGTGCTTCAATATAAATATTATCAATTCGATATGTGTATGTAGTTTCAAAAAGGAACAGGACAAACTGCACATTCTCATAAACAATGCGGGCGTTATGCGTTGTCCACATATGCTGACCAAGAATGGTTTCGAGATGCAGCTGGGTGTCAATCATATGGGTCACTTTTTGTTAACCAATTTGCTGCTGGATCTGCTGAAGGTAATAGAGCTAATATTACAACATTCTCCAACTATTTAATCCAATGATTTTCTAGAAAACTGCACCCAGTCGCATTGTCAACGTTTCCAGCTTGGCCCATACGCGTGGTGCCATCAATATTGATGACTTGAACAGCGAGAAGTCCTATGACGAGGGCAACGCATACAGTCAGAGCAAATTGGCCAACGTATTGTTCACACGCGAGCTGGCCAAACGCTTGGAGGGCACGGGAGTGACCGTCAATGCTCTCCATCCCGGTGTTGTTGACACTGAACTCGGCAGACACATGAAGATCCTTAACAATCTATTCGGCCGGTTAGTGTTTGTAATCATTAGCAAAAGGTTTATATTTCAACACATATTTTACGCTTATAGCCTTGTTCTGAGAACTTTGTTGTGGCCCCTTATGAAAACACCAAAGAATGGTGCACAGACCACATTGTATGCGGCTCTAGATCCCGACTTGGATAATGTAACAGGCATGTACTTCAGCGATTGCGCCTTAAAGCCAGTAGCACCCGCTGCCATGGATGATAAAACCGGAAAATTCCTATGGGAGGAGAGCGAGAAATGGACTCACTCAAAATATTAGATAAGTGTTTAAAGAAACTACGAATACATGAAGGAAAAAAGGTTATTGTACATAAATTATAATAAAGAGAGAACGTTGCAGTCGGGCGTAACCAAATGCGAAATACACAGATACCAATAAGTCAGATGTCACAGAATAGGGTGGTTGTAGCCAAGAAATACCGATCTTTGAAGGAGGTTCCAATTAAAATGTCTTCAAAGTTTGGAAAGTGTAGCTCTTAGATTGCGAGAGATATAGGCTATTACAGGTTTTGGAACGGTGGTGCGCGTAGGCCAGTACCAATATTCATTTTCGTGACTAGCTTTTAAATTGCGTAATATTTGCACCATCAGATAATTGGATTTGACAGGCGAAGTGGGCTTAGTCATGCATTTTTATATACATGTATCTTTCAACGGAGCGGAGCTATCAGCAAAATACTTACAAATTGTGGAATATATAGTCATTTATGATTTCTATCTTTACAAGTATGTGTGCGATATTCAATCTTATCTCTAACTTATCGATTGACAGACAGCATGACGGAATTTGCACAAAACCAATATACCATGGAAAGGTGCCGCAGCACATAGTGGGGCCAAGAAATATCGATCTTTGAAGAGGATCCCGGTAATCTATACTCCAAGCTTGCCTTTAAAATTGCGATAGATATAAACTTGTGAATTTTTGAGGCGGGATCGGGCGTGGCCGAAAAACTATTAAAAATTCCTAGTTTTGTAACCGCAGCTTTGAAATTGTGGGATACTACTTTCAAGACCCAAAGCGGAATAGGACCCATGTTCACAGAAAAAACATGCAACAGATTTCCAGTGATTTGACGCCTCTATGTATTATCTGCTTAGTGGTAACAGTGACTTACAACAAGACTGTAACATAACATCTGTAAATAACATAGATATCGATATCGATCAATATCACCAACTTGAAGAACTTGAAGAAGAATAAAATATGTATGTCATTGTTGATTATTTTATCAAACAACTGATAGTAATTGAAATAGGCTATGGCTCTGCCTCTAATGTTATTGTAAAGAACAGTCCGTTTCTGTGTTCCGAGCAGTAAGCAGCTAAAGAATGCCAACGTTCAGCCATTTAATGCCAAGTCGGTTGATAACTTGGCCGGTAGCAATAGGCCTTGCGGCATTTCTTATCAGGTATGGTTCGTCACAATGCCAGGCATGTTTCGTGTCTTATCATAGCAAATCTCGTAGGCGCTATGTGCAGAGTGGACAATTCGAAAAGGAAACTGATGAAACTGGCAAGGTTGTGATCGTAACCGGCTCAAATATGGGTATTGGCAAGGAGACTGTTCTGGAGCTGGCAAGACGAGGCGCCACAGTGTATATGGCCTGTCGAAATAAGAGTAAGACGGAGCAGGCTCTTAAGGAAATTATTGAACAGACGGGCAACAACAAAATATTCTTTCGGGAACTGGACCTATCGTCTCTAAAATCAGTGCGCAAATTTGTCTCCAAGTGAGTCAGCAGTTAATGAAATTACTTGTGGAAATCAATTGCATTTCCTTTGCATTTCGCAACAGACGGTAGGAGGTGGGTCACAGTTTGCATGGGTCCGCGCGTTAATAAGCCCGTGCTTGCTATCATTGGCCTACTTAAATGTGTTGCTCGTTAGTACTTCAACGTCCAAAAATATTTAACATACCTCATCATATATTGATAGCTTCAAGGAAGAACAAGATGAGCTGCACATTCTCATCAACAATGCCGGCGTAATTCTGGAAACACGCGGCCTAACGGAGGATGGCTTCGAGATGCAACTGGGTGTTAACCACATGGGTCATTTTTTGCTAACCATTTTGTTACTCGATCTGCTGAAGGTAAGAAATACTTTGTCATGCAAATATGCGTACTGATTCAAGCTTAATAACTTCCAGAAATCTGCACCCAGCCGCATTATAAATGTGTCTAGCCTGGCCCACACAAATGGTGAAATCAAAGTGGATGATCTGAATAGCGAGAAGAACTATCAGGGGGGCAAAGCTTACAGTCAGAGCAAATTGGCCAACGTAATGTTTACGCGTGAGTTGGCTAAACGCTTGGAGGGCACTGGTGTAAGCGTTAATGCTTTACATCCCGGTATGGTGAACACGGAAATTGCTAAAAACTTTATATTAGCCCAAACGAAACTCGTACGGTAAGTATGCAATTCGCTAATCTAAAATTAGTTCCATTATCACATATATTATTTATTTTTTGTAGATTATTTGCTAAACTTCTTTTCATGCTATTTACGCAAGATGCCAAGAGTGGCGCACAAACCACATTGTATGCAGCTCTGGATCCGGACTTAGATGGCGTAACCGGACAGTACTTTAGCGATTGTAAGCCAAAGAAAGTCGGACACGCTGCCACCGATGAGAAGGTTAGCCAATTCCTGTGGGAGGAGAGCATGAAGTGGACAGGCGCACCGAAAGTTATTTGAGTTAAAGCATTGGCTTTTATTTCACATTGGATAGTTGCAGCACTTGCCGGGATTATCGCAGTTCAGCATACTATTTAAGTGTAATACTAATCCGCCTAGCAAGCACTTGATTAAATTAGTAACATAAATAAATTTCCATATATAATGCATTGTTAAAGCGTGTTAATATTGATATACCCTGTTTTAGTTGGCTGTGTCCTGCGCAATTTCGCCTGCCTGGATAAACACCCTTTCAAATTTTAGTGACTTTCGCTAACAAATTGTGGAAGATATGCGCATTTCAGATTCTGGGCATGGTCTGCATACATATGCCGATCTTTGAAGGAAACTGCCAAAAAGTTACATGGTAACAGGTTACTAATGACATAGAACAAGACTGTAACATAACATCTGTAAATAACATAGATATCGATCGATATCACCAATTTGAAGGAGAACAGTTAAATCGTGTTGAATAAAATATGTCATCGTTGATTATTTTATCAATCAACTGATAGGAATTGAAATAGATTATGGCTCTGGCTCTAATGTTATTTTAAAGAACAGTCCGCTCCCATATTCCGAGCAGTAAGCAGCCAATAAAATGTCAACGACATTTCAAAGCAGGTATGATTGGTCACAATGATAGGCATATTTCGTGTCTTATCATAGCATATCTCGTAGGCGCAATGTGCAGAGTGGACAATTCAAAAAGGAAACTGATGAAACTGGCAAAGTTGTGATCGTAACTGGCTCAAATACGGGTATTGGAAAGGAGACTGTTCTGGAGCTGGCACGACGAGGCGCCACAGTGTATATGGCCTGTCGAAATAAGAGTAAGACGGAGCAGGCTCTTAAGGAAATTATTGAACAGACGGGCAACGAAAAAATATTCTTTCTGGAACTGGACCTATCATCTCTAACATCAGTGCGCAAATTTGTCTCCAAGTGAGTTAGCAGTTAATGAAATTACTTGTGGAAATCAAATGAATTTCCTTTACATTTCGCAATACAATTTTTTTAATTGCGCATCGTAATTCCTTATTTTTATTTATTCTTGTGCACGAGAAAAATTTGTGACTTGTGTTTCATCGATTTGGTGTAGAACACTAAAGAACACAAAATAATTAAGTACAGCGTTTTATTTTATATATTATAATCCATAATCTATTTCGAATCTTATGTTCAAATTAGAATGTGTTTTCCATTAATAAGATGTGCTTCTTCTGACTCTTCTATTAAAACTGTTGTGTTAAGTCATTTGTCAAGTATTTCGCGATCTTCGTAACCGCACTTAATGAGGCGCGCTGCTCGGTCGGTTGTGTAGGAGGTGGGCCACAGTTTGCCTGGGTCCGCGCGTTAATCAACCTGTGCTTGGAACCGTTGGGCTACTTAAATGTTAGTACTTCAACGTCCAAAAATATTTATATTACTTTCTTCATTGTTAGCTCTAACAGGGCACTGGTTGGTCGGCATTCACGCAAATTGAGACCGGCCAGGATCGCAAAATTTATAAACGCAACTGAATGGGCAAATTTCTAACTTTTTTGAGGTTTTTAAAGGACGAGTGTAGGAGAAATCTACCCCAGATCCCATACGGTATCACAACGGGCCAAACATGGCCTATGTGTGTCAACCCCTCGGGCTGGCAACCGTTTTAACCTAACCTAACCTACCTCATTGTATAATGATAGCTTCAAGGAAGAACAGGATGAGCTGCACATTCTCATCAACAATGCCGGCGTAATTCTGGAAACACGCGGCCTAACGGAGGATGGCTTCGAGATGCAACTGGGTGTTAACCACATGGGTCATTTTTTGCTAACCATTTTGTTACTCGATCTGCTGAAGGTAAGAAATACTTTGTGCTGCAAATATGCGTACTAATTCAAGTTTAATAACTTCCAGAAATCTGCACCCAGCCGCATTATAAATGTGTCTAGCCTGGCCCACTCATATGGTGAAATCAAAGTGGATGATCTGAATAGCGAAAAGAAGTATAGCGGGAGCAAGGCTTACAGTCAGAGCAAATTGGCCAACGTAATGTTTACGCGTGAGTTGGCTAAACGCTTGGAGGGCACTGGTGTGACCGTTAATGCTCTGCATCCCGGTATGGTGAACACGGAAATTTCCAGAAACTTTAAATTCGCCCAATCGAAACTCGTACAGTGAGTATGCAATTAGCTAATAAAAAATTAACTCCATTATCACATTTATTATTTATTTTTTGTAGATTATTTGTTAAGCCACTTTTCGTGCTATTTTTAAAAGATGCCAAGAGTGGCGCACAAACCACATTGTATGCAGCGCTGGATCCGGACTTAGATGGCGTAACCGGACAGTACTTTAGCGATTGTAAGCCAAAGAAAGTCGGACACGCTGCCACCGATGAGAAGGTTAGCCAATTCCTGTGGGAGGAGAGCATGAAGTGGACAGGCGCACCGAAAGTTATTTGAGTTAAAGCATTGGCTTTTATTTCACATTGGATAGTTGCAACACTTGCCGGGATTATCGCAGTTCAGCATACTATTTAAGTGTAATACTAATCCGCCTAGCAAGCACTTGATTAAATTAGTAACATAAATAAATTTCCATATATAATGCATTGTTAAAGCGTGTTAAGATTGATATACTCCGATTTAGTTGGCTGTGCCCTGCGCAATTTCGCCTGCCTGGATAAAGAGACGCGAGTAAAGGGCATGTGTAGTCGGCTCCTTCTTGTCGGGCGTGTTGGAAACGGTGTTGACATACGTATACTGCATGTAGAAACCCAGTGTCACCTCATCGCCCGTCTGCAGTTCAGCTGCTGGGGTGAACTGAAGTCGCATCAGGACCTTGTTGCCCTTGCGCCAAACAATGAATTTGGGCTCCTCGATGGGCGCCTGCACATCCTCATCGAACTCCTTGGAATCGTCGCGTTGACTCAACACAAATTCATTGTCCAGTGGCACAATGGTCGCATTGGCCAAATCACGTACTTCACGCGTCACTTCCCTTGTCGAATTCTGACGGGTCAAGGTGACACCCGTGGCCTTTAGCAAGGGAGATGATGTAATGGCCTCCTCCTTGATTCTGCAGCCCTGCATGAAGGCATCCATATTGACTTGCGCATCCGCTGGTGGCGCATCCAATATACTAATTGTCATGTCATACATAGTAGGATTGGTGAACTTCAGGAATATTGCATTGGTCTGACCGGGCTGCAGTGGCTGCTCGCAGCGCACCATGACCACCTCGGGCACGTGATAGCTGGCAAAGAGCTGTATGCGATACTTGATGGACGTTGGATGATACTCCGGCTTAATCAGATTGTGCTCGCAGTGCCGGCAACGCAGCGAACGCTTGATCCACAGCGAACGTCGCTGCGGATAGAGGTTGTTCACAGCCGTGGGCTGATCAGCCGGCTGGCTGTGCCGTTGCGCTACTGTCGTTACGTTGCGCAGATTTATTGGCTGCGTGAAGATGTCCTCGGACAGGGGCTCAACCTCAGCACTCGCCTCGGCGGGCGTGATGTTGATCGGCTTCGTTTTGGGTATGCTCTTGTCGTTCCAGCCGATCTGACGTCGGATCAGCGATACGGTCAGACCCGTGCGATCGGTTAGACTGGGAAACTTGTGCTGCTTGGGCGCCTTCCGACGCATGAACTCCTGTTTCTCCTGCTTCTCTTGCAGCACCACCGACTGATAGTATTCCATGAGTGTGTTGAAGCGCACCTGATACAGGCATTCGTTGTCCGGCCAGGTGCCTGTGGCCACGCCCTGATCCGGTATGCCGACGTCCCGTGTGGTCCAGCGGCACGACAGACATGATAAATAGTACATCTTCTTTGTTGTTGGCATCGCTGAGGGCTTTGGACTGGGTGCAGCATCCGAGCCGCTTTCACCGCCGTCCTTGGACTCATCTGCTTTGCGCACAACCGGAACGGTGGTGGCCCGTGCAGACAGTGTGTGCTGACAGCATGGACAGTCGAAGCAGTTAGCACAACAGTTCTTCTTGTGGCGCGCCTCCGAGGATGGTATATTCTCCAGGCAATTGGAGCAGAAGTGTGACTCAATCTCATGGCAGACGCAGAAGCCACACCTCAGCTTCGGGCAGTGGCGGCAAAAGAACAGCTTATTGATCGGATTCAAAATGCCGCAGGAGCATGCATACTTAACGGGACTCGGTTGCATGAAACTCATCTTTTACTAAAAACAAATTACACTTTTGCAGACGCTCAATTTGCAAATATTTCTTCCTCTTCCACCAATGACGACAGCTCAACTCTCAGCTGTATTAATATTGCTACGCACATCTGGTCACACCGACTATAGTTTTCATGTTATTTTTTTTAAACAGAGTTATGTTAATATCTTAGTATTTGCTCCTCAATTAACAGTGCTGCACTTTGGCGGGTAATTTGTCTTTATAAATATCTAGCAAAGCAATGTGCTGATTAGAGGGGATGTAATATATATATACGGATAAGCAATATATTCCGTTGAAATAATCTGTGTCAATAGCATGTAGTGTTTTTAAACAAATGTGTAATCAATCTGGTCAAAATTGTTGGTATTATATTAGTATAATTCTGCAAAATGTAACTAACCATTTAAATCTAAATAATTATTACTTAATGTTTTCACTTTCATTGTTTATTTTCTTAAACTTGTTTTCCTAATATTTTCAGTAACTATCAACAGATATTTAGTTTTTTTTTCTCTAAGTGGTCAATTAGCACAGTATTGTAAATTTTGAGGTGATGTGAATAGTGGTTTTATTTTTCAACTCTACATAAATAGTTATAACGAACTTCCGAGCAAACACTGAAAAAATAACAACATTTCCCACAACACTTTAACCTACACTTTTATTACAATCCACAATTATCTATAAATATACAAATAGTAAATAAAGTTTAAACTTACAAAATATTCTTTTGATAAATCTTTTAATCAAGATTTTATGTTAGCCTTGAGTTCGTGTCTAAGGTCTTTTGTTTTGAGTGTTAATGAATCTGTTACAAGAGCTCTTAATTTTTTTCTTATATATTTATTTTAAATATGTTCTTGGTTATATTTATGCATATACATATGTAGCTAGGTATAGGAAGGTATAATCTAAGATATGGTACTTGTTGGCTAATATTAATATCTATGTATTCTACAATAAGGTACACCATCATCAGTCTGTACTCTCACGTTGCCAGTGAAAGAATTTAGCACTCTAGCCAAAGAAGTTGGGCACAAAGAGCTTCTTGCGCTTGGCGCGAGTCCTTCCGTAGCGCACAATGGGCGAGAATCTATAACTATCTGAGAGATCATCGTTGAAGTAGGAACCATAACTACGCTGACTGGCGCCGGCATTTGAGCTCGGCACGGGAGCAATATAGCCATTATCCACATAGTAGTAGCCCGTGTTAAGCTTATCCAAATACTCGGCTGAGAGGGGCTTGCCATATGTTAGAGCATAGGAATTGTGGCTATCGTATTTTTTGTGATCGTAGCTGCGCTCGTAGCTGTTCTCATAGCTATCCAGATCATAGTAAGTGGCCTTGGCGCTGCATTCTGATAACTTGCAGATGACAATGCCGAGTAGCAGGCTCATCCAGGTGTACAATTGCTGTAAATGTGAAATACATTTAATACCAGTCTGGTGGCTGGCTTAAGTTAATAAATGCTTACCTTGAGTTCCATTGCTGCTGATTTAAATACTCCGTCTTAGAATGTTTTTATACGCTGTATGTGTGCTTGAGACGATGGTTGGTTTCGTTCTCTGTGCTCAACTCCAAAGAATTCTCCCCTTATATACGAAAATGTGCTGCGTTTCGCACCCGAATGTGAAAATATGTTTTCTGTTGTTGCTTTTGTTGTTATTACATATATTGCCAAAGCGCATATGCGAAGCATCGGCACATTCAACGCAATTTTTGAGGGGGGCTCATCTTAATCTTTGAGGCAGCCGGTTTTACTTCGGTTTTGGCTGTCTGGGTTCTCCTGCGCGTGCCCAACTCTAGACTGATTCATTTTGTGGTCAGGCTCTAATTGTAACTTAATTTATTGCAGCGTGCTCGAAATTCTAGTTTGATTTGGAAAACTTTTAACAATGCGGAAAGATTTGACGACTTGAAATGTGTATTTGATTAAAATCTTTGCTTTACACATTTGTTTATGTTAATCATTTGTATATATTCGTTTCAATTAAATTTGTATTTTTTCAGAGCCTCAAATGACATTAAGATTTGTAACTGGCGCCTACGTATCGGTAATTGTGTGGACACGATTTGAATTCTATATATATCAATATTGATATGATATATTTTATGTAATTAACACTAAAAATAAACCACAGTTGTAAACAAATAATGAAATTTATTTTAGTTTAGAAAAGACGCTTTGCTAAAGGGTGGACAATAAGTAAATATACATTTGTACATTTAAGTGCATAGTTTTTTTAATTTGCACAATTTGTAATAACCGCTACACATTTAAATATAACACGCTGGTTATTATTTTTATTGATTATAAAGTTGATTTGATTAAGTGTAAATATAAACATGCTAATTAAATACAATAATTCTGGCATAAAAATAAATATAATAAACACTTCACGTCAACAACAATGAACAACAAAGCTGTTTTCTACAATTTCATTGTGGTTTTTGCGTAAAATTCCATGAGTCAAATACAAAACGCAATTGCAAATATTTTGGCAGCAACTAATCAAGTGTGAACTTATATATATATATTTATATATATATATACATATATATATATATAACGGTTGATCTGTAAGAAAGTATGTATAAGATATTATGTAGGGGTTCACAGTTAAGGTAGACTTTAAATCAAATTGGTTTTGGGCCTGGTCAACGACATTCTCACGATTCAATTGCAACTCACGTTTCATTCAAGCGAAAGTCTTCACGAGATGAAGGTATTATTCGGGTATTATATAGACTTGTTTCTCATTTATAAGCTTGTTGTGCCAAATTTCATACCTTCTATCTAATTAAATGCAAAAAGTGCGACACTTATTCCGTAATTCTGCCACATTCAGCAAAGTTCAGTGGGTTGATGGTAAATCGACTTAAATGCTTTGGCTCCATGTGTGAAACTCAACAAATAAATATAGCAGTATTTTAATATAGCACATTTGCGTTAAAATTAATTGTCTTCGACAATAAAATGTGGAAAATTTTGTGTCTGGGACCAGCTGGGCTGAATTTTACTTTATTGGCATGGTCCTATTTGGGATGCTGTGGTAAATAATAAATCGTTTTATTTTCAGGTGGCAGTCGAAAAGATGCTCTCCATATGTGAAACGTAAATCGGGCAGCTGGAGCATTATTCTGAATACATATTAAATAAACATTTCGAATAGCAAACATTTGCATGGCGTGCCAAATATTTCAAGTCTAATTGGTAATCCCAATACGTTGGATACGCATTGCTATGCAAATGCCGATCTGGTAATCAATAACGCATATAAACAGCGTACTATTTACTTTTTCACGATCAACGTTATTTGAAACAGGTGGGAGATGGAGTCCCCATTTCGTTACCTTGCTTACAAATAAACATGTTTGCCATTTCCTTATTTACAAAGATTTGACAGCAAGTTATGGCATACGTGATACATTGCATTTCGTTCCTCTAATTCGAGTGTTTACTGTGCATAGCTGACTAACCAGCAGCTTGAAATCACATGCGCTAATAGCTGCTAAACTAATTGCCAGGACAGGTTCCTGGTGCCAAAGTGCGTCAGAAGCGTTTCATTTTTAATTACCATTAATTTTGCTATGCTTGTGGAATTTTATAAGCAAACTAAACACGTTTTAAATAAACAAATATCTCTATGTTGTATTGATAATAAACTACTAAAGTTAAGTTATATTTAAAAATAGCTATTCTTTTTTAACAAGATGAGGACTATTTCTTTTTTAACAGCAGATGACCCTTTGGCTTGAGCTTGTTCTGCATGATGCGTTCCTTGTCTGCCTGGGCGGCCGCTTTAAGGCGCTCGTGACGCTGCTTGGCAAAGTCCAGTTCGCTGCTGAGTTCCACAATTTTGGCAGCAATCTCCTGTTGCTTCATCAAGCGCTTCTTCTGATTCGACTGCAATAGAAAAAATTTGTGTTAAAGTAGATTGCAACAAGGGTGGGAATTCATGCTACTTACTCCTAACGGCGTCGTCCTACCATCAAGGAACGTATAGTCGGGCAGATTGGTGAGTGGACCAAAGGCATTTGGATTCTCCTGCAATCCCTTGGCCGCTCTCCACTTCTGGTCGATGGAACGAACGGCGGTGAGCGCCACGTGACGCTGAGCTGTTGATTGATTGAGAAAACACTTGCGTTGAATTAAAATCACTACAGAAAGTACACACAACGACTTACCGGTAATTAAACCTGTGTTTCTAATGCAAAGTCGGCTAATTTGATTCATTGTATTTTATAAAACACAAAACGCTCACATAACCACTCTAGAGTTGCCTTAAATTGTTCAACTGAACTAACGAGGGCTTCAATTGTAGTTCATTTGAACTGCCACTCACTTTTAGCACAGCTGTTCCATTAGTGCTTAATCAACTTATCGATATCCGAACCTGTAACTGTTATCGGCATAGCCAACTTTACTGATAGTGAAAAATAATTAATTAATTTACCAAGTTAAAAGCATTTATTGAAAAGTAGGTCACACAAAAAATGGCAACCAGAACCAACACAATCGAACGCAATGCAAATGGCAGCGTCAAATCCTCATCACTGCGAGAAATTTGCGCGCGAGCTATGACAAAATCCGAATGGGATGACAAGGTAAGAATTCAGAGAGCGGTGCAAAAAGCGAAGAGGCCAAAAACAGCGCGTGTCTTACTAAATATAATATTTTGTCATACTTAACTTTTTTAGGACGAGTTTCTGGACGTTATTTACTGGTCACGTCAAGTGTTTGGCATCATACTCGGCATCGTCTGGGGCATTGTGCCGCTTAAGGGCTTTCTGGGCCTTGTGCTGTAAGTGGAACTCTGCACACCTAATTATAGAAAGTGGAGCGAACAGCTTTAATATTATAACAAATAATTAAATTCACAGATTTGCCGGCATCAGCTGCGGCGTTGTCTACCTGTACGCCATCAATTTTCAGAATGTGGATGAGGATGCTTACGGTGGTGCGTGGGAGCTGGTGAAGGAGGGTTTTATGACATCGTTTGCCGGGTTTCTAGTGACGTGGATTATCTTCTACACCGGCCTGCACTACGACACAATAATGGCGGCGAAATCTTCATAATACCAGCCATAGAGTGAGTGAGTGAGGGAGAGGTGTAGAAAGTATCCGACGCACTGCAAGAAGTAGATGAAAAAAGACCAGAAGAAGCAATAACCGATTCCACAGTTCAAATGCAATTGAAGCAAATCATTTTTGCAGCGCCAAAGCATCAATCATAATAATATTAATTGAATTGCCCAACTTTTTGTGTCCATGTAGATTGTTAAAAATGTGTAGCCAATTATGAGTAATTTTATGTGTGCATTTTGTTTTCATTATTTACAATAATCGCCGGATATATTTGCGAGACTTGTGCGATTTTTCTGTGAAAAATACGCAAGTGAGCAGCAAACCTGTTGAGGATTGTTAGTACCATGTATGAAATCTATTAAAGCGCCGAGATGAATTGACTCCTTTATTGTTTCTGTTTTTTTTTTTTTTATTAAAAATTATTGTTCTACAGTTATAAGGTAGCTGACGACGGGGCTAGAACTAATATTCCAAGGCAACGGCCGGATTGCTGGCCGTGGTGCCGTTGTGGCCATTTTGGCCCATTTCATGCTGAAACTTCTCGGGCAGTTGGCCACTTTGCAGGATCTGCGAGAGTCGCTCCACCTCTGCCAGTGAACTGGCCCGTTTAATGGCTTCGCGTATGCGCTGCATATCTTCGGGATTGGCGAACCGACCGCCGCCATCGGCAGCCGCTTTACCGTTGGTCGCCTCGGCGGCGAGGGCGGCGGCAGCGCTTAGCTTGGACTTTTTGGTCACCTCCTTGAGCAGATCCTTGCCCGGCTTGGTGCGAAAGAACTCAAGCGCCTGCTGCCTGTCTTTCTGTTTGATCTTTCGAAAATCCAGCAATCGCAACTGAGGAAACTTGTAAGCCATATATTCGCGATAATTGGGCTTTGTTGATACCGGATTGATGAGTAGACATATCGTGTCCAGCTTCTTAAATCCGCTGAGTGCCTCCAGATCGCTCAGCTCCTGCAAATTGTTGCCCGTCAGAATGATGGAGCTTAGATTTGGGATAACCTCCTCCAAGCCGTCGCTGATCCGCAAGATGCGATTGTTGTTCAGCAGCAGGCATTTGAGCCGCGGCAGATGTGGCAGATTGTCCAGTTTGCGCAGATCATTGTCGGACAGATCGATCGTATCGAACTGGTCCAATGTGGCACCCAAATTCTCGATTTGTGGAATTTTGTAGCCGCGTAAATCGAGTTCGCGCTCCCGGCATGGGTTTATGTATTGCATGGACTGGTTTATCAGCTCCGGCGTTAGTTTCACCATCTTGACGGGGCAGGAATATAACTATTTTTAACAATACCTTATAGATTCAGTCACAAATTGCTTTTTTTCTTACTTTATTCCATAAAAAAAATATTGCAAAAGGCGACGCGAGTTTGCGAATCAGTGTGACCGAATCGTGCACCCCTCAAAACACCAAAGCTGAAAACTCAGTTTCGATGACAACAATCACAACGATAATAATCACCATGTGTTATCGACACAATCCAGTACTGCATAGCGCAACGACTTTGGCCCACATTTAAAAGAGAACCAAACACCAAGTTGGACATTTTTGATTTAATTTTAATTCGAATTTCAATACATTACAATAAATTTGCAAGAGTGCTTAAACTTTAATGAACACGTTACAATCATTCGTTTATTCGTTTTGTTTGTGTTGTCTTGGTTTTGAAATGGCAAACTACATATTTGAGCCAGCTATGGGAAAATCGTTCAACACTATTTAAAATTGAAGTGTATTCGTGGTTCGGTGGTGGTGGACTGGGTTTAAATGTTATTCATAAACATTATTTTTATCATTACGTGCAAACTACATGTGTGTGTTCATAATGTTTGTTTTAAAAATGTAAATCTTGACAAATGTAGTTTTTCTGTAATTTATTAAATGCGATTTTATTAAATGTTTTTCTGTTCTGCCTAGTTGCTTAACGTTAATTTGTTAACTTTGTAAAAATTAAATAAAGATACTAAAAACAAAAAATAAAAAGATTGTCGTTTACATATACATAGTACTAAGTAAATGGAAATAATGTTGAAAATAAAAAATACACATAGTTTTCTTTTGTTTGGAAGCAGTTATAAAAAATATTATATTTGATTTTTAATTTTGTTTTTGTTTTTATTTAATTTGTTTAGGCCATTAAAGTAGTTTTTATGCACGCAATCGATTTATACATAAACATATATATCATAATATTCATTGCGCTCTTCTTCGTTAGTTACTTCTATTCAATAGATAAATTGAAAAATAGATTTGTTTCTTGTATATAATTGGCACTTAACTCATTTTAAAATACATAAAAATCTAGTACATAAAAACGTTGGTTGTTTTTGTTTGTTTGTTGTTTGTTGTTGTTTATAAATATGCAAAAGTTATTTTGGGTAAAAAGTATATATAAATAAATAAATCACGTTCATTCAATATTGCCAAAGAGTTAAAAACAAAAAACACGCGCGCGCCATTGCACATAAATGAAAGAGTTCAGTACGAATTAGTTGCAACCTTTCCACATTATACCAATATTATCAATTATCATTAGCATTTATCATTATTATCATATTAACTTTAAGTCTGCTAATTTTTTTCTTTTCTTTTCTTTTTCTTTCCTTTCTTTTGTTGGGGAGGGGATTGGGGGGTTTTGGGCGTGAGGAATGTTGAGTTGAGCATATATTTATAATAGACAATTTATAAATCAACGACATCCTCTTTCGTATAGGTCGACTCCCTAAACATGCGTCTCGCCGAGTTGCTCTGCAGGCCTTCAACTAATGTCTCCTGTTGGTTAAAATTTGAATTGATTCGCATTTTAAATACACACGTCGAAAATATGTACACAACTACAGGTTATTTAGGCATTTCGGCATTAAGGCATGCACATACAATGAATGAAAACAACTTATAAGCGACAATTAAATGTAAAACACATACAATACAATTGATGAGCACCAAAAGACACACACACAAAAACATTAAACAACAACATTAAAGCCACATTAAATTTCAAAGGAATGTCTTATTTTTTTGATGATTAGGCACAAAGCGTAAACATAACGAGAGCTAGAGAGATAGATGACTGTGGTTCGGTCCAGTGTTCCACTCAAACCTCAAATAGCGTTGACACCTCTTTGCCCGCAATGCGCTTCACATTGCTCTCCGCACAGCTGTTCGCCTTGGAAGTCGTCCGCTGGGCGTTGCGCATGCTCAGGATCTCATTGCTGATGAGACTCGCACAGGCCATGGCATGATGATTATTTGTACTTCGGCTTGAACTGGAGCTGGAATTGGAAATTGAACTGCTGCCATGCTCAGTGATGATCGTTTTGCTGAGCGTTTCTTGGGTCGCGCTGTTTACACTGCTCGTGCTGATGATCTTTGAGCGCATCTGATTGTTTAATACTGTTGTCGTTGTAGTCATTGTTGTGGTCGTTGAATTGCTGTTGTTGCTGCTGTTGCTGATATTGCTGATGTTGCTGGTATTGCTGGCAGTGCTCATGCGACTGACTGCAGACTGACTCAACATGGTTCTGGGCATTATGGGCGGCTTAAGGGGCAGGTCTGATGTTTTTGTTTTGGTTTTTTACAATACGTTTACGAGTACACAACAAATCATAATATGAAAGTAAATAAAATACAAAACAATAAGATATATAAACTTGCAGTAACTACTCGAGTCAAAGTGCTCTCTTTTTCTACTGGCAGGCACACAGTTCATTCGCATGCAGCATTTGCCTTGCTCTACTCACCCAGACGACTCAGACCAGCGGCCAGTTCCCGCACCGACTTCTTTTCCAGTGCAGCGCCTGCAATTAACAAACGAGTGGGAGATGAGCAAAGGTAACCGGGTTGGGATAAAATCATTACTCACCTGGCGTAATGCCAACAATGCTGCCACCGCCGCCCGCGGATAGAGCAATGCCTGGTGTAATACCCACAATGGAACCGCCAACGCCTTGACCAAAAGGCACCACTTCCACATCTGAAACGGAGCGAAACATTTGTTAAATATAATTGTTACTTTTATGAGAAATAGATGATGGATCTAAGAGACTATGACTCGACTTGGCTTTTGTTAATATCCAAAAGATATACAAATTCAAAGATATATAAAACAATGCTTTATACATTTCCCAACACAATTCTATTAATTCTTATTAAATATCTTTATAAAACCATAACTAAATTTTGAGCTTGTAAATTCGAACCTTCTTCAAGCATATCGGGTGTTGTTTTGTTCGAGTCAACGCTGCCATTTCCCGTTAGCAGGTCATTGGTTGCCTTGGGTTCGTTGCCCACCACGGACCAGGGACGCGGCTTCTGCAGAGCGATGGGTGTGCGCAGAATGCCGTTGCTCGTCTTGACCAACAAGCTGCCATCGTTGCCGACGGCGGCCACTGAGCCCATGCCTGTGGCATGGCTCTTGATGGAGTCACTGCTGGGCGAGCGCATTCGCTCGTCGCGTGTGCCCGCCTTCAGCAGACCCCCGCTGGGCACTGGAACGTCCTCGCTGTTGCCCGGACCGCTTTCGGTGCGCATCTTTACCAGCGGCGATTTGCGACCCACTAGCGGTGAATACTTCTCCAGATTATCCGTGGAGCGCGAACGTGTTGCCCACGAGGCGCCTGCGAGAACAAAAAAAAAAAACATATTTATCACTTACGATCTTCATTTTGAGAGCATTAAATCAAAAATATATATAATTTACAACTAAACTTTACAAAAAATGTAAAACTTATCCAAGGAAATTATTATATTCCAAGGCATTTTATTTTATAAAAAACATATATTATTAAAAGTTTGTGTATTAAAGAACTAAAACAAAAAACATTTAAATTGATCGAATGAAATTATTATATTTACAGCATTATTATTAAAATAACTAAAAAAAAACATTAAAATTGATTATTATATTTAAAACATGACATTTTATTTTATAAAAAATATATAATTTCACAGTTAGTTTAATAAAATCTTACATTTGATATTTTGTTCATACAAAAATGGGACACTTAGTATCTAAAATTGCATGCCAATTGGAATGGGATCCATTTTAAAATTCACTTACTCTTGAGCAGTGGCGACTGTCGCTCCAATTTGATGGGTCGACGCTCCTCGAGGATGGGCGTCGTCTCCTCGGAGGTCATGTGACCATTGCCATCGCGACTCATCGTCGGGCTGTCGACAAACGAGAGCGAGCTGCACTCCTCGGATGTGGGCGAGACGAGAGGCGTTAGCGTTGTGGGCGTCACTGAGCCGGGTCGAAAGAAGTGCTCGAGGCCATCGCCAATGTCCCGGCCAGCGAAGGCGGCGCATTCGGCATTGACCAGGGGTCGGGTCGGTGCACGCGTCTTGGCCCGCTTCGGGCGACCCTTGACCAGATGCTGCAGTTGAAACGAGGCACTGGGCAGCTCCGTAATTGAGTCACAGCACTCGTCCACGCCGCCATCATCAATGGCCGCCATGCTGTCGCTCATGTGGACACTGCTGCTGGCTGTGGCACCCGAGGCGCCCAAGGCAACGGCAGCGGCACGCGTCGACAGCTGCGAGCTGGACCGATGCGATGAAGGTGACTCCAGCAGATCGGGTATGTGACTCAGGCTGAGATTCTCCACGACAGACTGGGGACGCACCTTGCGGGCAACCGAGCGACGTTTCGTTGGCAAATGCGGTGTGGCCTATTCGATGGGGATGAGGGTGAAGAAACAAAGCAATTAGCATATTGTATTTAAAGCAAAAATAAAATAAAAAATATATATTTGTTGGTTGTGTTTATTTAAATGTGTGAAATGATGAGCGAGAGCCGTTGGATGTGGGGATCAACTTTTGGTGTGAAAGATTACAAAACAAAAAAAAAATAGCTACAGTGAAAACTACAACTAAAACAGAAAGTGACACATAGAGCTACAGAGACCAGGAAACGGACAGAGTGTAGTTACAGTCAACGCTCGAGAATGAGTACAATTAGAACTTTGAATTTGTATTCAAATATTTTATGTATTTTAATATATATATTTGTTTAAGTTTACTCCATGATAAATACATAAATCTGTTTGTTCGAGCGTTCACTGTGTGAGTTTTTATAGAGTTCACAGTTTATATAGATTTCTAGATATAGTAAGAGAACAAGACATTTAAAAAACTACTTACAAGGTTCAGATATTCCAATTTCTTTAAGTTTTGTGATATATTTAAATATATATTTTGTTTTTTTTTTTTTTTGGTATGTAAATGAGTTGGAGATAAGGTTTTAATACATGTATATATAATGTTTATAGCGCATAAAGTAGAGTTGTATTAAATCGTATTTATTTTTTGTTGTTTTTGTTGATGTTGTTGTTGTGGTTGTTGTGATTGTTGTTTGGTATTGATGAATTTGTTTGGATGAATACAAGGATACACGAGAAGAACACGAGAGATAAAAATAATGAGCTTTTTTCTTAGTTTCTTGGTTTTTGTTTTTGGTAATTTCACATACGATTATTATTTTTATTGAAGCGATATTGAATGTGTGTATGAGTGTGTGTAGGTGTAAGTGTAAGTGTGTATATCTATGTGTTAAACTGTTTTATGTACGATATAAGAGAGACGTTGTCGTTTAAATAATCATTTAATGTCCTTATGTTTTTATGTGATAAGTGTGCGGGAGTATTTTTTGATTACTTGCCACTACTCGCATATAGTATATATTATTCTGAATATACATTTGATCAGTTATTGATATATAAATATATTTTTTTTTTGGTTTTTTGTTTTTGTTTTTTTTTTTAGATTTAGATTTGTAGACTACTGCATCCACTTGGGTAGTGAGAGATTTTCAACACTTACAGTGGGCGATTCCTGGCCCAGTTTGGGCAAAATGGAGCCACGTCCACCGGGTCGTATGATCAAGCCCTCAGCTTCCTAGACCGGGATAAACAAGAGTAAGAGCAGGCGTTAGCACCTAAATTATTGAATGGAATGCACTGCGCTGCACTAAGCCTGATAACTGAACAGAAGAACAGAAAAGAAGTCCAAACGACAACAGTCACAAAACTGGAATGTTTCCAAATAGTTGTTGTACATTTTGTGCCTGGCACGGAAAATGAAAACAAAAGTTTTAATGGTGTTTAAGGCCAATGACATCACATTTCTTAATATTATATTTATAACCGTATAACGAAATCAAAGATAAGGTCGATTCGCGCTGTGCCTTCAATATGGGTTATCGATTATTGTTTTTTTTTTTTTTTTTTTTGAGGTTTTATTTGTTTTTTGTTTCTTTTTTTTACTTACATGACTGGAACGACTGCGCACAATGTCCGGCGTCTGCGGCTCGTCTAACAGCACCGATGGCGACTCGGATATTCCAAGGCCGCGACGATAGCGGGTCAAAGCTTCCAGCACTTCGTCTGTGGCCCGATCCGAAATGGCAGCAGCCAGCGATTGCTCAATTTCACTGCGAGCGAGGGGGAGAGGGACAAAAATAACAGCAATGATTAACATTAGTAAATATGCATTGGAAGGAGAACCGTTATAGATTGGTCATTGTGTGATAGATCTACTTCTTGTCAGCTGGCTGCACTACTCCTATCTCTGTTTCGCATTGCTCCTGCTCCTCATTGGGACACTTGCTATAGCCGGGTGAATTGAGACCACTGCCAGCACCGCCTGAGCCGCTGCCAAAACAGCAGCACAAAGTGCGCATCAGGCCCATCTCGGCAAACAGCTGTCACGGAAAACAAAAAAATAAACACTGGAACTGTCTTCAACTTAACGGCACACAAACTATCAATGAATTCGCCTGCGTTGCCACAGTTGCGACTACCGCGATATCGACTGAAAAGCCACACAGACACACACACACACACACTGATAAAATTAACTAATATATTTTATGTAATTTTTTGGGTCGACAGCAGCCGTTTGGGCGTTCAAATGGAAATGCATTCAGCTGTTAAGTTATTTTATGTTTGCTTAATCTTATCTGCGCTTACTCACACACACACACACACACACACACACACACACGCACACTCACTCGAATTTAATTGTAAAGAGCGAGCGCGGAAGCAAAACAAACATATATTAGTGTATGCGTGTGAGCGAGCGAGAGAGCGAACACGAAGAGAGAGCGCGCGCATCACAGCGTATTTTTAAAAATACATTTTTTTGCAAGCTCAGCTGTTAGAGAGGAGGCGAGCTTATTGCAAACAGCTTCTCTTTTTTTTTCTTTCTTTTTTTAAATGCGCTGATCAAGCGACGCCTGGAAACTGGAAATCGAACAGTGCTGGAAATGTTATCAAAGTGTGTCATGAATATTGTTGTTGTTGCTTTGTTTGATATACAAATATTTTATGATTTATGTTCACTGATCGGATGGGCTAAGAACGCGGAACATTAAAGCCAAATAAAAAGCTGCTCTCGATGATTGATTGATAACTAATTGAATACAGCTGAAATTTGGTTTGCACTTTGAATTTTATTTTTTATACAAATTTCGAAATGCACTTAACAGTTTCTAATGAAAACTAATTAAAATAATTAAATACAAGCAGACTTTAAGTTAAATGCATCTACAAATTAAGTGCTAAATTTCTTTTGACTGATTCACAGCACATTTAGCACATCTCTAAAAGCACTGCGCTTGTGTGTGTATGTATGTATGTGTGTGTATGTGTACAGCTTCATTTTTGATCAGTGCCTGCCTGAGTCACCCGTTCACTCTCTTTCTCTCTCTCTCTGCCAAATAAAATCTCTCTCTCTCTCTCTCTCTCTCTCTGTCTCGCTCGCTTTTTGTCAGTTGCAAAACTCCTCTCTTGCTACTCACCCAACTTTGTTCATAATCTCACTGCCGGCATTATTGAGCAGACAATTCTGCAGAAAATCATCGGGTATTTGGAGGCGATCGTTGAGCGCCTTGCGCAGATCTTGGATGACAATCTGATTGCCCAGCGTTTTGGGGCACTGTTCGACACCGGTGCGTATCATTGTCTCCAGGGTCTCCTCCAGATAGCTTTTGATCGTATAGCTCAGTTCGCTGGCGACACGCGTCAGTTTCATCTCGATGGGATGGCCATCGTTACGCACAGCCTCCTGCAGCTTGGGCATCAACTGTTTGCAATTCTCCGCATCGGTGATGAGTCGCTGCACGGCGGAAACATTATCGGTGCCACCACCTTTGGCCAGCGAAATGGTGTCCTGTGTCTCGGCGACCAGTTTGTCCACCAGCTGATGCGTCGAGGAGAGCATAAAGCCATGTTGCAGCCTGAATCCCTGGCCATTGGCACGCTTCAAGCCGTTACAGTTGCGTTGCAACAGCTCCTGCATTTTACGCATAACCGCATCCGTTTTATCTGGATGATTCTTCAGATGCGGCGCTATATCAAAGACGGGAAAGGGTATCGTGCGCATACTATGATTATGCTCCAAAGCATAGACAATGTCCGCATAGCCCTGCAGCGTGACACTATTCTTGTCCAGGTAAATGGTGCGCAGGCGATTGTTAATCTGCAACGCCTTGGCCAGGAGACGGGCGCCCACATCGCCCATATAATTGCCACTGATGTCCAGCTTTTGCAGGCTCTGATTACTGCCGAGGGCATTGATGAAATCGTGCAGATCGTGCTTTAGCTTATTCTCGGATAGCACCAGCTCCTCGAGCGGAAAATCATCCTTTTGTATCAGATTGACCAAAGCGTCCATGACGGTGGGTATATGCTTGGGCTTCATGCCCGTCAAACTCCTGCACAGATGCAGCGTACGGATCGAGGGATTCTTTGAGATGGCTGTCAGCACAGATGCTAGTTCTGCATCCAAATCTATTTGCGAAATGTAATGAATATATTAAAATCTCTGCGAATATGCCAAACAAACTCACTATTGTCGCTGATGTCGAGACTTTGTAGGACGCGCACGCCATGTATGCAGGACTCGAGCACATGGGCGCCTTGGGCACCCAGCGTATTGCTGCTGAGATCGAGATACAGGCCAGCCGTCGACTCATTGCACGCAAGGCCCAACAGCAGATTCTTCAGCGCCTCCATGGGCAGCTTGCAGCCGGCGATGTTGAGATGCTTCAGGCTCAGGGTGCTGGTGAAGAACTGCTTGAACGATGGCGGTATCTCCTTACCCTTCTTCGTGCTGAACGAATTGTGCGAGACATTCAAATGTGATAAATGCGTGGCACAGCCGCGCAACAGAGCTCCAAATAGCTGTCAACAATAAGAAGAGAATAGTTTCAATTTAACAGCGAGCATTGTCTGTTACTAACAGTACTATTTTAGGCTACAAAGCTATTTTATATATTATGTTATGTTAAGTTCAGCAATCTGTTACTAACATAAATTTATTATATTCAGTAGTCGCTCACGAATAGTCCGATGTTAAATTATCCAGTTAACATACAGGATCTCTCATTAAAAATTTTAGTTTAGTCGCTCACTAACAGTCTGATGTTAAGTTCAGCAATGCATTTCAGCTGTTAGTCAGTTAACAGACAGGAGTTCTCAATAACTATTCGAGTTTACACTGCAGTTTTTAGCATTAATTTGTTTTCTGTTACAGAAGTTTCTCACTAACATGTCAAGATTACATGTTAGCTGTTAGCTATTCCGAAGACAAGATATCTAGGATTTCTAGGTTGCTAAAATTACTATGCGCTTTCAGTAGTTGCTCAGCAACAATCAACAGTTCAACATTACATTTCAGCTTTTAGCCAGTAAACTGACAGGATCAATTACATTTCTAGCATACGTTTAACAGTTGGTGTTACAAACCAGCTCCTAACAATGAAACATAACATCAATATAAACTTTTTTTGTATGTTAGCTTTACTCACATTTTCCAGCGTAATATCAGTCGATGCCAGATCCAGATGCTCCAGGACATTGGGTTGAGCCAGAAAATTGTGCAAATTCTGCAAACAAAATTCCTTAAATTGTCTTTCGGGACAGTTTTGTGCAGTTTTACTCACAGTTATGTCATCCTTGAGACTATTGCCACTCAGATCCAGAAAGGTGAGCGAATTGGAAATACTTTGATTGAGCGACAGGGAATGCGACATCTGATTGACACCCTTCGAGGTGAGGCCGCAGTGAGCGAGCGCCAATTTGCACAGACCCTTCGATACCTTGGCTATGGGACCAGAAAGGTGTATGGCGCCTAGTTAAATGTATTAGGTTTACCATTAGATTCGTGTATTGATTGGCAGAAAAGAGTTATATATATGTATATATGATAGATATGTAGAATCGAATTGAAATTTGCAAGTTGCGTGTTTTATGCCGATATTTGAATTTGAATATAGACAAAGAGCAAAAGGCGTAAAGCAAGCGGCGATTATATGAATATATATAAGGATCCATTATGATTTGACTTGTGGGACCACAATTAGGAAAGAGTAAGATTGCAAATAAGTCTGCTATCATAATTACAATGATAACGCAACTTATCAATATAAATTTAAGAAATGCACTGATAATATCTTTATCAAACTGGGATTTCACAGTCAACAATCTCAATCTCCCAAAGGCCACACAAGCTACACAATCATATCGCATATTGATGAAATGAAGAGCGTATAGCAAGAATGATAACAATAACAACTGACAACAACAATGCATAGTAAATATAATTTAAATTGAGTTTGTAATCTTAATGAATTGTTTGGTTTGATTTTGTTGTGTTGGTTTAGCTAAGTACAAAATAATGTGTGTCAAATGGGTTCTGCAAACCTTGCACAATCTTTCCAAGTAGGGCGCACAATGAGCTTGCTCCTACATGTGACAAATGACAAGATAAACGCGACAAGAACAACAACAAATTTATATATATACAATTATATATATATAGAGACAAAGGAAAAATGTAAACGCCATCAAAAAAATATTGTTAATTGTTAGGGAGTAAAAGAGAAACGCATTAAATTGGATTAATTGGTTTACAAAGAAACACGAGACGAGTACAAAATGCAACTAATTGCCATTGGGGCGGACTCAGGGGCTTATAGGGGTTGCATGTTGCATGTCACATATTGCATTCAGTGTGTACACACCTTTATCCTCGATTATGTTGTGACTCAGATCGATGGTACGTATCGCTGGACTGTTGTTCGAAATCACAGATGTCGACAGCTTACTCAAGAAATCCCATCTACAAACAAGCAAAGTTATATATTAATGTATATTTAGATGTATTGCGTGCTCACCTTAAACCTAGTGCCTCCAGATGCAGCTCTTCCAGCCACATGGAGCGCCTGAGCACATGCAGGATGCGTTCCAGAGTCTCGTGCGAGAGACGCATGTGTGCAACCTTTAGACCACGAAAAAACGTGTTATACTCCAAAGCCGAAACAATGGCCATCAAGTCTCTGTGGGGATAAGAGAGAGAGATAGAGAGAGAGAGAGAGAGAGCGAGAATTAGATAACTATTTAATTAGATTTGTTTAGAATTTGGTTAACATCTGTGAAATCGGTTAGCCGCGCGCTTACAGTGAGAATTGCAAAGAAATAACATTGAGTTAACATTTGTTTTACCTCTGATTTTAATAAGATTAAAAGTACTTAACATTTAGCTAACATATCTTTAAAATGTATGACTGTGTTTATTTATTTATTTAATGTGGCCTAAAAACAGTACACATTTAAAAAAAAAAAACAACTAAAATTCAATTTAGAAAAAATAAAATTAAATCTGAGGGTATTCAAATGTAAAAGGACTCAAGTTCTAATGCAAGGATTAGGGTAACACAATAAAAACCCAGTCAGACAATTGTTAAACGTTAGTAGCCTAGTAATAAGGAAGCAAAACGTTAGGAAATGAGGGTTTAAAAGAGAAAAAATAAAGAGATGCACATATCTGAACCTGTGGAGTACGACAAGTTTACCACAGTGAAGCAAGCTTAGAGATTTAGTAGATTTGAAAAATTACGAAAGGTTAATAAAAAGTAGCTTACTAAAAAGTAGCCATCTAAAATCACACAAGACAAAGAAATGGAATTGCTTCTAAGCGGACTCATTTGATTTTGGCACTTTTTATACTGAAGAGTCCAAACACATGTGTCGTATTCAATAATAAGACTCAATAACGACAGAAAATATTTTATTATATGTAATTCTTGTAGCATGCGCTCACTGTAAGGATAACAAGTAATTAACATTTGTTTAACATATAATTAAAACATGAGCTTAACATTTAGCTAACTGTGATTAACATTTGTGACTGTATAACTTGTGGTTACATTTGTTCAACATTTACATTAAGGATAACATGGGCTTAACATTTGCGGAAGACATTTCTGACTACTACTCACTTGGGTTCCAGGTGATCGAAATCGCGCAGATTGAGCAGGCGTGTGTCATGTGACAAGTAGATGGTGTCCACATCCCAGGCGACCTCCTCGCGATAGGGCACCCCGTGAAAATCGCACATGCAGGCATATTGGGCACTGAAACCGCCGCACGGGCCCACATTGCGCGGATCCGAGGGTCGAAATTCCTCCGAGAATATGGTCTCCCGTTCCGGTGGTTGGATGTCGATCTGTAAAGCGAATAAAACAAAAAAAGATTAAATCAAAAATTCAGCTAACGCGACATATGTGTAATTTTGTATTTTCAAGTTCGAGTCGCCTGACAAAAGGCGTCAAGAGCGCAGTTAACACTTAAAACTTGGCCATAAAGACCGTCGCGTGCCTCACGGCTATTATTCAACACATTTTTTGTTGGCCCTGAGACTAGACATTTGCCATTGTTACTAATATTGTTGCCAACACAGCTAGACACGCCCCAGACGAAAGTGTTGCTCAGCGGGCTCATCAAAATGTAAAATATACAACGACAACAACAAATGCAACAATTGCTTGCAATGTGGGTGGCTGTTGCGATGAGTCAAGAGATTTGCATAAGTGCAGGCAGCATAATGTACAGACACAACAACAACCTCGACCCATTATAAATGCATTGAATTATTAGGTTGTTCAAGCAGCGGCAGCAGCAACGAATTTAAGACTAAAATTGCTTAATTGAGACAACAACACAGCTAGTCTGTGTTAGTGTTTGTGTGTGTCTCTGTGCGTGTGTGTGTGTGTGTGTGTGTGTGGGTAGGCAACGTGTGGGCGCCCATTTGAAGTGGCATCCACATTAGACTTAATCTCTCAAATGCAATTTCATCAAATTAAACAAAACCTGTCTTCTCCTTGACTCGAATAAATTTGTGAATGCATCAAACGATTTTCAAAATGGAATATATCCTCTATATATAATAATCTGGCGCTTAAAGTTGATAAAATGTAGGAAGAAAACAATTTGTATTTTCTATTTTAAGTTAATTTCATTGTTGTACAATTACTGAGTGGACGAGCGCTGTGAATCTCTCTCAAACTTAATGTTCACAAATTGATAGAACTTTAGCTTTGTGTAATTTTAAATCGGAACAATTTACATTTTATTTATTGTTTTTTGTTTTTCTTTTAAATTAAATATGAAGTATTTTTTTTGGAATTTTATATTATTATTAAAAAAAATCGTAAAAATAGCATACAACACTGAAATCTTTAAGTTAAGGACCTAAATCGATTTAGATTCTGAATTGATAAGTTTAGGAACTTGAGCAAAGTTCTGAATAGGAACCTTTTATCAAAATTAACAAATCATTGCTCTTTTGAAACGAATAACTTATTTAGAAATGCGCACAATTTGTTAATTGAATAATAAAAGAAATGTTTAATGTGTACAATTGATCAATTCTTGTGTCAAAAGCTAAGCATTTTCAAATGAATGAAATTGTAGTAGGTTAAATATTAAATTAGGCCTTAATTAAAGCGAAAATTGTGACTCAGGCGACTCTCGTCTCGCTGCTACACAGTTAGCTTACACACCCAAGGCACACACTCACACACACACACATACACACGCCATACACACCCCCTATCCTAAGCCAATTAATTATCTGGTGAAAAATTGAACAAGTTTTTTTGCATGTGTTTGAAAAAATGCCTAAAATATTAAAGTATAAGAAAGAATATTATAAAATTTCCACATTTCAATGAATTTGAAATGCATTGGTTAAAGAAATAAATGGATTTCAGATTTGTAAATTGTGCATATGGCAATTCGTCTATAAATATTAAATATTCATTCATTCAGTAAATATTTAAATTCGAATGAAAAGAGGCAATTGTAAACAATTTGGACATGCTTCGTTGATTCTTTTTGATTATTCATAACTGTGAATATAGAAATTAAGAAAAAAAAGGAAAGAAAACTATTTCAATGGAAAAATGGTGCATCATCAACTAAACAACAACGAGCAACACTAAAAAACTCACAAAACTTTTAGTTATTGCTTTGTTCAACTTTTGCTTGCCGAGTAAACTACTAGTAAAATACGCTTAAACATTGTACGAAAAAAGTTTTCATGTTTTGAAAGTTTTAAAACTTGGGTATCAATAAGTTTATAAACTAATGGATTAAAGTTGAAGCTTTCATCGGATTTCTTGAAATATATTGGATGGAAAAAAATGAGACAAATGCGTGTTTAGTTGAATTATACTTGCCTTTTTAATGATGTATTTGAGAGGAACTGTTGGAAATATTTGCTTAATGGCCGAGGCTAAATCGGTTAAGATGACATCAGCGTTCTGTGAATGTGAAAATGATATTAAATATGATATATATATGCATGTATATATATTTAATTATTATAATTGTGAGCTGCATACCGAGCTGAAATTGCCCGCATCGCCGGTTGTGGCAAACGAATATGGCCGATCGCTGGTGATTATTGAGAAATGTGTTGACTTTTTACTCTCGACGCCAACAATGTCCAAATAATGAAAATGGCATTCAATCTGTGAACAAAATGAGTTTTTTAATTAGCAATTAAGAATTAGCGTATCCAACAGCTGTGTATACCCTTACCTTGGTGGGCACCTTGGCACTGAGCAAATAAACGCGAACGGGCGTAAAAACCTGCAAAGGCGAAAAACAGAAGTGTTTAATAACTCAACTAAAAAGTTGAGGCTTGGTTGAGGGTTTTGAGGGTTGAGGCGAGGAGGGTTGGTAGCCTTTGACGTGCTGCAATTTCGTGGTAAAACTGAAAGCTAGTCGAACGTTAAGTGCATTGAGAGATGCGAGGTTCCCACTCAGCCAGCCTCACACGGCAAGGGGCAGAGACGAAGGACCAAATATAGGGGCAGGGGTAGGGCTTGGGCTAGTAGTAGTGGTTCGTTGCAAACTCAATTGAGTTGCGTTGAATGGCAGAGAAAACTTTTACAGCACTTAATTGAAAATCAAAGTGCGTCCGTTCTCTAATTCAGTTAGCCACTAGGAGCTGTATAGGAACTGTAGGAAATGCAAAGAGCAGAAGGTAGCTGGTGGTACCTCCTATAAGTAGTCAGCGGGTGCTAAATAGCTGCCGATGGCTAACATAAAAACGGTAATTGGACACTTTGTCTCAGCTCATTATATAAGCGGCTTTGTTTCTTTTTTTTATGGTTCAGCTCGTCCCTCGTACAAATCAATTTTCCAGTCATGTGAGTTTAAGCGAGGCGACAAATTAGCATAGGCCGGGCAGTTGGAGGCTCTAAATGCCGCTAAGTAGGCTATAAAATATCAATTACAGTTAAAGCTGCTATGTGACCCCAGACCCTGAAGCTCAAGTGGGTGGGCGAAGGGGGAGGGGCGAGAAAGGCTAAGAGGCAAATTTGCAGAGCACTTCAAACACATTTAAGCGGGCAGAAATGTGTTCGATTTTTTAATTGAGTTTTAGAGGTGGAACAGAGAAAGAGTAAAAGGAGAAAGAGAGAGAGAGAGAAAGAAAATGAGAAATAACAGTTGAGTGAACAAATGGAATAAGAGTGTGCTTTAAGTATATCGACTGCTTAATATATGTTAAATGTTTTAGATTTTTGTATAAACTGTACCCCTTAAAAATGCGTAAAGGGTATAATGCATTTGTGCCAAAGTATGTAACAGAAGAAAAATTTGACGCCTTCTTAAAATATAAATATTCGTGATCATTAATTATCAAAATTAAAAATTCTACGTACATATTGATTTAGAACATAAGTTTCTTTAACTTTTAAAGCTATAAATTAAAAACTTTTAGGCCTGTCCCATTTTCTTATAATTTAAAGGTTGCTTAGAAATCAACATTTTAGTTATAAAGCTTTTGAGTCGATTGATATTTAAATAAGAATTATTTTAAATTAAATAAATTAATGCTGAAAATTTAGTAGCCTAAAACATTGCACATATCTTTTAAATTGATAAAAATACTAATCAAATATATTTACAGTATTTACTTGAAAGAAAAAAGCCAGCGTTTGCATTAATACTCCGCAACAGCTGGAGCAATAAAAAATATTGCTTTGCTATTGCTACTGCTACGAACTTTAACAGAGAAATAACAGATCGAAAATCAGATAACTGAAATGGACTCTTTTCCGATCAGGTACGAGGAGAGCAAAACAAATATACGATTGGTATCAGAATAGCACAAGCTGCACCGTTTGGCTGACATGCTCTCGTTCTTTTTGCAATTGCTACAACTAGAGCAACAGACAGCACATCGAAGGAGTATCCATTTTAGTTGCTTGTTAAAGTTCGTAGCGTAGCAAAAGAAAAACGAAAAACTACGAAATAGCGTAGCATTTTCAATCACTGCAACCAACGCCAAGTATAGGCAAATTGTCAAATCTAAAACAGTATTGATTTATTTCATCTGTATGCACTGCTTTAAAGCTACAAAAAAGATTTTTTTTCATTTTAACTGTAGTTTTAACACACAGTACTTTCAGGTTTAATGCGCTGTCAATAATAATTTTAAGTCAAATGAAAGCGTTGCGTTAATATGCCCCTCTGGTGCCACGACTCAATTACAGGGCATCATCATTTGAATGCAATTTGGCCTGGCAGCCGCAAGCGATTCATCCTAGCGTGCAATTTCATATACAAATTAGAGTGCCCAGACTGGCCCAAAGCCGTCGCAAATCTGAGAAGCTGTCAGATAGAGGGGTTGGAGTCGGAGAGGGGAGTTAAGTGGGGGGAGGTAGGCAGCAGACTGATGAGGAACACCTGAGGCAATGCCAATTGGTGGTTGTTGCTGCTGATGCTACTTCTGCTTCAGCTGCTGCTTCTGCTGTCGACACTTACCAAGACACGATTCTCTGTTTTATCGCCTTTCGTTTCCAATTTAACCATATACTTGACCAAGATCTTTGTGTGCCGACCCAGTATGGACTTGACGCTTTCTGCAATGAGTGAAATTGAGAATAGTTGAATTAAAAAGATGAGCGGTTAATTAAATTCCAAAGCGATGACAGCAATTAACGGCATGCATTTATATTTATATATATATATGTATATATTTATGTATTCACATATATAATTCGCATTATGCACAATGCATAACAATTTCTGCATGTATTTGTATGAGGGTTATATCATAGACGATGTGACAGACAGACAGATAGACAGCACCTCGTATATTGCCTATTACACTGTTGTTCAGCTGCTTCTCAGGCCAAACACGTAGGCAGGCGGCAGGCACTTTATGAAGGCAACAACAGTTTGAAATTTCGCCGAGTTTCGCAGCCTTAGACACCCCTAAAGCACATCTCCTCCTCCCTCTCCCCTTACTCACTTCCATTATTTTCATTTACATTTCCAGCTACTTAACATAACAGCACACATACATACATAAACACACACACACACTGGCAGGCACACAGCGATGACGAATTTATTCAAAGTGAGATATTTTCATGTGCATTTGACAATGACAGCAAGAGCGGGTAATGGGGGGGGGGGGGGGAAGAGGGGGTTGGGCAGGGGCACACTTTGATTGTGTGCCCAGGTCTTGCTTTTATTATTGCTTTTGCTGTTGTTGTTGTTATTGTTGTTGTGGGATACCGGGGTACACAAGCATTAGCATTATGTCATGCGACAGGCACGCCAAATCTCAAGTATGCTAAGGCAAAAAACCGGACAGGGAGTTAAAAGAGTACAGAGTAAAAGAAGAAGGATGGAATGGGATGTGTGAGTCTGATAGGGGTCTGCGAGTTATGACTCCTCTCCTTGTCTGTATGTCTGCGTATGTGTATGTATGTGTGTGTGTGTGTGTGTGTGTGTGTGTATGTGTGCCTGAGCATGTGCCTTTATTCCAGAGGCATAAATGGAATTGAAATGTCAAATATTTTGGCAGCCAACCAACGACAGTTGTCAGCGTTGTTTTGCTCTGCTTTCCTCTGGGAAACCAACTATAAAACGACCCTTAACATGCCATAAGCGGAACAAGGAAACTCTCTTTCAAACTAATTAGCCGAAAATTAGCCAAGAACATGATAAGCCTATAAATAAACAAGGTGAGTTGTTGGCTCAGGTGTATTGTGTAAACAAATATGATTTATGAAAACATTAAGTATTATGAGGTGTAGTTCTTCTATGTATAAGCTTAAGTAAATAGGAGAAGTGGGGGCTCTATAAGAATAGTTGATATCTTGAAAGATTCTCAATAAAAATTCCGTATCATGATGTATATGAAGCAGAAATTATATAACAGGTCTGCGCAGAAAAACGGATATGGCGATAAGGAAGAGAAACGGATCTTAAGCAAATAACTCCATTATTTATTACAATGTAAGAGATATGGTTAAGAATTACTTCAAATATAGTTCGATCGATTGATACCCACGCAGTAAAACTACAAAGCTAGCTATAAAACTTCAATCAAAATTATGTTTAAATTTATCAAAAATAGTGTGGAAGAGTGTTCGCTTATCTTTTCATGGGTATACAAAATATTTCTAAAAACTGGATATAATGTTTGGATGTTAGAAAAAATCGTTATAACTTGAGTAATTCCATTGAATAAATCCGCATTACTATTTTGACCGCAACTGTATAATAAGTGAGCCAAAAATAAAGGAACGGACAAGCAAGGAATTTATTATATATAAGAAATATGGAACTTAAACAAAGAGCTCAATTTCCTTTTAGATAACTTATAACAATGTATTATAGATAAGAATGTAGATCAACATATCAGTCATTAATCAGTTGTCACTTAAGAGAAAATCACTCATATGTTTCATAAGAGTTTGCCATCATTGCTAATCACTTTTATTTAAAGTCGAAGCCCTGTTCTATTAATGTTTATTACCACCCGCTGGATATTTCACTGGTGAATCACACCCAAGAGAGCATTATCGCTTTAGGCCCAATTTAATGGTCTTTTTTAGAGTAGAAATTCCTTAGACAATAAATGGAATGGAAAGTGAAAAGCAAATAAAATACATAAATACAGAAATATGTATGCATGTGTATATTTATGTAGTAGGCAGTGGGGATTTGCATGAGGCATGGCCATAAAAGAGCAGCGGGAGCAATTAGCGCCCTGACCACACTCACTAAAAACGGCCCCAAATTTGTGGCCAAAAACAACAACAAACAACAAAAAACGAAACATTTTGGCAGCGAGTGAGCAGCTGCGGTTTGTTGTCTCTAAGTGCCAATTGTGGCTTATGAGCAACAGCGATTGTTAAGACCTGTAGACACGAACACGCATAGGCATACATAAATATATACATATCTATATATTATATGTGTGTGTGTGTGTTCCACCCACTTGTAACGGGCGTTAATAAAATAAAATAAAAACAAAAGCAAAAACAAAAACTATACAAAAAATTGAGAATGATAAAGATCAACATTGTGCCCAGCCAAGCGGCAACATTTGACAGTTAACTGCGAGAGAGAGAGAGAGAAAGAGAGCATAACATTTGGATGATGCTGTTATTCTTAATTGCAGAAAATGTGAATGAACTTTGTGTTTGACGCTTTTACAGCTGCGCTGCTCTCTCACTGCACGCGCTTTTGTTTTCTCGCTCTCTCTCATTCTCTTCTTGATTATTTTGTGTTTGCTGCACTGCTCGTTTGACACTATGTCAATATTACGATGACGCTGATGAACAGTAAACACACACACACACACATGCACAGACAAGTGAGTAACTGTTGACGGCAATGAAATTGCATTTGTCATATGCAGAAAAAAAACAACAATAAATTACTTGGAACTTTGCATGCCCTGTACATTTACATAATGTTATTTAGTTTCAATAAACCAAATGAATCAGTTTTCACGTGAGTAGAGACAAACTGTTAAAAGCTACACTTTATGATGTTCTTAACTTTTTTTTATTTCCCTACTGAATATTTTGTTTGATAGCTTTATTTACTTCCCTCAACAACAAACATTGTGGCAAATACAATAAACTTTATTATCTTTTACAGACTATTTGCAGAGCGGCGACTTTGCATAATACTCCAGTACATACACATGAAGTTCACCACATGTTTTCATGTAATTCTACACATTATCGAGGCTTGCGAGACAAATAGAGAGAGAGAGATAGAGAGAGAGCTTATTAGTCATTGAGCCATTGAGGCAATGTGAAACTTGCGTGGCCTTCACACAACATTTAACACTCAGTGCACCCTGTAGCAATTTGAAGCTGGTAATTAACTGTTACCTGTGTTCAGCAGCAGAAGCGGCAGTCTGGCCACTCTCGACTTCATTTCCGCTCAAGGGAAATTCAACTGAAATTGCCAAAACTGTCGCCAAATGCTGCACAGTGATAACACACAATACCTATTTTTCTGTTGGGGGAGGTCAAAGAACTGATTGTCGAATAGAAGATTCTCGATCTGAATAGCGGATTTGCCCAGCATTACGCTCTTCACAACATTGACAGCATTATTCTTCGAAGTGCTTGCAGAGCACCAGTGTGACCCAATTTGGTAAAAAAAAAAAAAAGTTGCTGCTGCTGTTGTTGCTGCCGCTTTTTTGCAGCACAATGGGCAGAGATTACACGAGTTCAAAATACTCGGATACAAGTGCAACTGTGGGCGTGTCTTTTACTGTGTATTTGTGTGTGTGTGTTAGTGTTTTTTGTGTGTTTGTGTGCTAGTCGCCTTGTCTGAGCCTTTTATTACGACACTTGTGTACTTTTTGTTGACTGTGCGCTCTTTTTTGCTGTGTGTACACACACACACTTCTACGTACTTAGATTTGTAAGCAGCACAAAGGCTGTCAAAACTGTAAATTATCATGCAGACTAAAATCAGTTATACAGTTTGACAGCTAGTGCACGCAACGCCCGCCACGAACAAGCAACACACACACACACACACACACACACGCAGACAAAGAAACACACACTCACATACATCTTGATGTGTTCATATTTATGCCAAGTCAAACTCAAAAGCTTCGCACTGGCAAAGGATTAGGCACAGTGCTGCCCAAATATAGACATGATTACACACGCAAATACACAAACACACGCACACAATAAAAGCACTGCACACAAATACAAATACACCGTTGATCATTATTCTTTGAAGCAGCTTTTTTGAAGTCATAAAGAATGCGACAATCGTTTCGAAATGTTTGCAAAAAAGCATCAACAACAAACAATGGGCAAGGCCTCTGCTACAGCTGCTTGAGCAGCTAACGGCAACTCTCTGTCGTAGACAAACGCCGCACAAAAGAAAGTTAAACGAAGATTTTTGATTTTCGTTTTCTTTGCACACACAACTTTGTGATTACTTTACGTTATGTTAATTATATTTGCACAATGAAAAGGCGAAGCAGACGCAGAGAGGGAGGACAGAGAGAGAGAGAGAGAGTGGAAGTGGGAGGCACTCACAGACAGACAGATATACTACAGACTGACAGATATTGTAATTTACTTTCGCGGGTGATTAACAGCTGACATTGTTGTTGTTGCTGTTAACTTGGACAGCTGTGCACATTGCCTCTGTTAAAGTTGTAAACAATGTCGGATTGACCCTGAAGCTCAACAACATAGATGCTGTCTGTTGAGAAGTGTTCACTTTTGTTCTAATTGCTGTAAATCTATTTTAAGCAACACCTGAGCTTTGTATGTGGGCGTGAGCTTTATTTATGTTTGACCTGAAAACGCAATTTGTGCAAATATATTTGATGCTGAGCTTTCGAGCTGTGGACACAATGTTAATGTCGAGCGACGAGCATTAGAAAGCGACAGGTTAACCATGTGTGCTCGCACTCTCTCGTTCGCTCTCTCTCTCTCAAACTATTCTTTTTGTACTCCCCAAAACGCGATAAAGTGGAACACGCCAATGCGACTGACCAGCAGCAGGTCAGGGATGAGAGAGAGGGAGGAAGAGAGAGGGAGAATTGCAGGCGCGCATCATTAACGTCACT